TAATCTTAAAGCTACTAAATAGTCTTAATAAGCTAACTATTAATATTACCTTTTAGAGGGTTTAGAATACTTTTATTAATTATAAGTATAGCTATTATAGTAGTAGTAGTTAAGAGGAGTAGTAGTAGGAAGAAAAAACAAGCTTTACGTAGCGTAGTAGAAAAAACATAATAAAGTATAAAAAATCTAGTGTGCAACTAATATGATTAAAAAGTAGGGTATAGCCTAGTTAGCTAGAAGATATAGCTTAGATAGTAAAACTCTTATTAAGAGGTATGAAGTTAAGAGGTCTATTAGTCTAACTAAGTAAATATTATAATAAATAGCTAGAGGCTATCTAAAAATAATATACTTTAGAGTAATTTTAAGTAAAGAGAAAGTTTATAATTTTTATATAATACTTAATAATAAAAATATAAATAGCTTTATTAATAATATTATTAGTAGTTTAGTTAACTTATATAAGTAGGTATTATAGTTCACTCTATATATTTTTTATATAATATTAAAACCTAATAGTAGTACTTTAACTTATACTTAATCTTAATAAAGTAAATAAATAAATCTTAATATAACTAGTTATTAATACTTAGCTTAACTTATCCTTAGCTATATAGAAGAAAATAAGTAAGTAGATAAGTAAGTAATAAAATAATAAAACATATTAATAAAAGCGTTATTTATAATATTATTATTTATAAATATATTATTTATAATATTATAAAAGTGTTATCTATAATATAAAATACTAATAGTATTTATAATAGCTAAAACTTAATAATAACTTAAACTTATACTTAAAAATATAAACATTAAGTTTATAGTTATAATGCAGCCCCCTTATAAAAAGACTATAGTAAAATTCACCCTATATATAAGCATAATTCTAGAAACACTATATAGGTACTTTAATTTATACTTTCTACTAATTAAGGAAAATAGTATAGAAACTATATACGTTCTTACTAGTAAGCAAACCCTCACATAAAGTTGAACGCGCGCCCTAACTAAATAGATTAGTAGAATAGTAATAGTGCTAGCTATATAGCGTAAAGCTGATTATATTAAGGCTAAAGGGGTTATTAAGGCTTTTATAGCTTAGTAATAGCTTTACTAAACCTTTTAGTGAGGTGCTATAAACGCTACTAAATAGAGATAACTCCTTAACTAAAAAGGTTATTATAAGAGGTTCTTATAGCTAGAAGTATAAAAAGCTTTACTAAGTAGGGCTTTATACTTATCCCTTTTCTTCTTCTTTACCTTTAAACCTATATTAATAACCTATCTTTATAACTTATAAGAAACCTTTATAATATTAATACTTAACCTTATATATAAATACCTTAAGCTTTATAATATATTTATTAATATAAATAATATATAAAAGCTTATTATAGAGTTTAATATTAATCTAATTAATAAAAACCTCTCTTTTTTTATATAGCTTAATATATATAAAGAGTATATAATTAGGATAATACTTAAGAGAGCTCTTATTAATACCTCTATAGGAGACCTTAAGATATATAACTTAATTAATAGTAAGTATATAAACTTAGCTATAGAGGTAGATAGGGTATTTATATACTTTATAGAGTAGCTCTTCTTTAAATAGGCTTCTTATAATACTAAGGTAGAAGTAGCCCTCTAAAGCTTAAATATTAATAAGTATAGGCTATACTAAATAGAGAGAGCGTTACTAATAATAGTATAGCTAATAATAGATAGTATAATAGTAATAGAGATAGTATTAGCAGCATAAGTAATATATAAGAGAGAGGATAAGTTAATAGTTTAGTAGTTAGTAATTAAGTAATTATAAACTATATTATTACTAAAGTGAAGTTAAAAATAGTGAAGTTATATATATATATATAAGTATAGCTAAGGTTAAGAGAGGTAGTTAGAGACTTAAGAGGTTATTAGGAATTATATAACTAAAAGCTATATATATTATTAAGAGGTATAAAGTTAAGAAGTTTATTACTCTAAGTAGGTAAAATTCATAATAAATAGCTAGAGGCTAAAAATATAAACTTAATAATATAACTTTTTATTATTATAACTAAAAAGGTTTTTATAGCTATAATATAAAAATTTAACTACTACTTTAAATAAAGCTTTAACTTTATTCCTTATATCCTCTTATATATATAATAACTATAATATTTTTCCCCTTTATTATAACTATATATAAATTAAATAAAACTATACTAAATAACTTAATTTATAAAACTAATATTAATAAAATTAAAAGTTCTAAATATAAAAACTTTTCTTTATTAAAAAAAAAACTCTTTTTAAATTTACTTAGAAGTACTTACTTAAAATAGCTAATAAAAGTAATATAATAAAGTTATATAGCTTTAAAATTAATATAGAGATAGTTAAAGCTATTAATAATAATCTTAATATTTATAATTACTTTATAAGTTTCTTTAAGATAGCTAAAGTAACTTAAATATTTAAATATTAGTAAGTTAAGAAGAGTAAATATATTATAAGTATAACTAATAGTAGTAAAACTATTAAAACTATATAGTAGAGTAGAAGATATTATTTGAATAGTATAATAATATAGAGGTTTTAAAGTTTCTATACTTAGTAAAGCTTATAGTATAAACGTCTAAATAGTAGAGAAGGCTTAGAAGATAGGTATAAATTAAATATAGTATAAGAGATAGAGAAAACTAATAAGAAATAGAGGAGACTAATAGAGATAGAAGTAGCTAGAGGAAAATAATTAATACTTATTATAATATTTAAAGTCTAATAGAGGAGTATAGAGGTAAAAAAGATATCTAAGTAGTTATATAACTTATAGGTTATTAGTAGAGGGTAAGAGGACTAGTTTAGCTTTTATAGTTAATACTAGTTAAATTTCATAATATAAGGCTAGTAGCCCTTTATTAATAGTATTAAAATAAAGTTTTATATTTTTATACTTTTTAGCTAGAATATAATAATTATTATAAAAAAAACTAAAGAGTTTTAAAAAATAATTTATAAAATAATATAAAGAACTAAAGATTTATTAAATATAATTACTTTATATAGCTAAACTTTAAAACTTATTAAATTTAAAAAGCTTTTAATATAAATAATAATATTAGTACATTAGTTAATAGTAGTTATATCTTTATAAATATTATTAAAATCTCTTTTAGTTTAATATAAAAATAAATATTAAATATTTAATAAATAGAGAGTATAAATTAAATAATAAATTTAGTTTTCTAAATATTAAATAAGATATTAACTAATAAAACTACTTATTTTAAGTAAAACTATATTATAATTACTTATAATATAGAGAATAGCTTTTATTATATAAATAACTTTATTAAAACTATAAACTTTTTTTAACTTATCTTAAGTTTTATTTAAAACTAAGTAAATTATAAATATATAAATTAAACTTATAAAAAAAGATACTACTAATAAATAAAATATATTTTTAATTTAATATTAAGTTAAATTATAATAATATAATAAGTAAAATATATCTAAGCTCTAGCTGTATTATAAAATAACGCCTTTATAACGTTATAAATAATATGCTTATAAGCTAGAGATAAGTTAAGCTAAGCGTTAATAACTAGTTATACTAAGATTTATTTATTTACTTTATTAAGATTAAGTATAAGTTAAAGTACTACTATTAGGTTTTAATATTTAAAAAAATATATAGAGTGAACTATGATACCTACTTATATAGGTTAACTAGACTACTAATATAAGTAAAATATATATTAATATTAATATATTAATAAAGCTTATTAATAAAAGCTAAATAATATATTTTATATAAAACTTAAGGTTTTAAATAATTAAGTTATAAAAATAAATATAGTTAACTTAACTTTTTAAGTTATAAAATAAGTAATATTTAATTTTATACCTCTAAAATAATTAATAATATAGAAATTAATATATATATATTATTATTACTATAGAAGTTATAAATAATTTAGAAGCTAATTTACTCTTAAGAACTTTATTTTATAAAAACTTTAAAATTATTATTAATTTTGATAAAAGTACTATTAGATTTTAATTTATATATAATATAATAAGTTTTATTTAGTTTTATTTATTATATATAATAAGGTATAAAGTAGATAATATATTATTATTATTATACCTCTTTAAACTAATATATTTAGTATTTTTTCTTTTTTAAATTTATTAAATAGATTCAGTTAATAAAATAAAATAAAATACTTTTAAATATAATATTATAATACTATAGATATAATAATAATAAGTAATAACTAAAAGTTTATTTTAATATAAAATAATATAGTTACTTTATTTATAATTTTAAAAAGTAAGTAATTAAAATATATTATTAAAATAAAGCTTAGAGAAACTATTAATCTAATTAAATATATAGATATTATTATTTTAATAAGTAGCTAACTATTAATTTAAACTAGATTTTAGTTAAAAAGTTCTCTTAAGTTATAATAAAATTCTATAAGTTTATAAGGTTTTTTAATTAATTAGTATTCTAAGGACTATAGATATTAATAACTATAAATAATATATTATTATATAAAATCTCTAAACCTATTAATATCTCTATAGTCTTTAGTAAATATAGTATTAAAATTTATAGTAGATATATAATATTTATATAAAGTATAGCTACTATAATAATATTATATTATATATTTATTAATTTATTTTATAATATAAGTTTTATAAATATATATTTTTAAAAATATATATAAGTAAATATATACCTATATAAAGAAAGTAAAGCTAATTTTAAAGATTATATTATATAAAATAATATAAAAGAACTATAATTAATAAAAGTTATTATATTATAAGTTTCTAATAAAACTATAATATTTAGCTAAAAATTATTAAAAAGAGAAAAAAAAAGATAATTATAATATAACAAAATAAACCTAAATACTATAAAAAGACTGAATAATTATTATTTATAGTATATAGATTGAGGATTTCTTTAGAACTACAACTAATGCTATTTACAAGAGCATACGACGAGGATCTTCAATATACTCCTTCACCTTTACAAGGAATTGAACAGCTTCCCTTCCATCCAGAAGCCGGTGGTCATAGGTCAAAGCTAGATACATCATGGGGCGAACCTCAATTTTCCCATTGACCGCAACGGGGCGTTCCTTAACGGCATGGAGACCCAGCACGGCGGTCTGAGGAAGATTGATGATCGGGGTCCCCATGAGAGAGCCAAACACGCCACCATTGCTAATAGTGAAGGTGCCACCAGCCATATCTTCGATGGTGAGCTTGTTGTCTCGAGCCTACATTCGCAGCAAGTTAGCCCACCATCCCGTTTCTGAAAGACCCAAACAGACCAAACTGTACCTTCTTGCCCATGTCAGCGATCGCCTTCTCGATGCCCAGCATATCAAGTGACTCAGTGTTGCGGACAACCGGAGTGACGAGGCCCTTTTCCGTGGCCACAGCAACACTTATGTCAACATAGTCACGATATACGATAGTGTCGCCTCCGTTGGGCCCCTCGATGGACGCGTTCACAGCAGGGATATCGCGCATGGCCAAGACACACGCGCGTGAGAAGGCGCTCATGAAGCCCAGCTTCACACCAGTTTTCTTGAGCACATCGTCACGGTAAAGCTTTCGAAACTCGATGAGAGACGACATATCGACCTCGTTGAATGTGGTCAGCGATGCCGCAGTGTTTTGCGACTGCTTGAGACGCTCGGCGATGCGAAGGCGCATGCGGTTCATTTTCACCTACGCCAAATCAGTCAAACTACCTCACGACAGTCATCTCCGGACGAAGAAGGGGCAGTCGGAGCATAACGTACGCGGCGTTCCTCACGACTACCAAGGCTTTGACCAGTGCTCGAAGCAGTGTCTTTCAAGGGACTGGGCACGGGCTTGGAAGTCTCCTTGGTCTCCTTGGCTGGAGGAGCAGCTGCCTTGCTTTCAGGCTGAGGTTCATCCTTAGGCTCAGGCTTCGACTCTGACTTGGAAGGCTCGGGTTGAGATTCGGGCTCGGCGGCAGGCTTGTCTGATGTGGTCTTCCCTTCGCTAGGGTCCTCGCTGCCGCTGCTAGGTTTTTCGCCGCCAAGCTCCAACTTGACGATATCTTGACCGACACTAACGGTATCCTCTTCGTTGACCAAGAATTCCTTGATGACGCCTGCTTCCGGGGCATTAACAGCGACATCAATCTACATATGAATGAGTCAACATCGTCTCTAGGGAAACTGTAGTTGTCGCAACAAAAGGACGTCAGGCCTTCCGGTCAAGGCTGGAACAAACAACTTGCCTTGTCGGTTTCAATGGTCGCAATCTCTTCGTCTTGCTCGACAAAATCGCCAATCTGCTTGGACCACTGCTTCAGCGTTCCCTCGGATATGGACTCAGCCATCTGTGGCACTTGGACGATCTTGTCTGCATAGTTGCGGACGTGCTGCAGCATCTGCGGCATCTGCATTGGTAACGCCCGCGCGGGATACCGACGAAGCGGCACCAGGCGCGCAGTGGTTCTCAAGCTTCTCGAAAGCATCGTGCAGGATTGGCGGCCGAAGGGAGAAAGAGAATACGGACGAGGAGAAAAACGAAAGAACTGGAACGAGAAAAACCTGCTCCGAGATAACCACAAGCGCGGCGTGTATTTTCGAATATTGCTAGAAGCTTTCTCCCAGGTGGAAGTGACAGGAGAATCCTGGTAACAGCAACTGCAGCAACAGAGCAGAGCGTCCAGTGACCGTAGCGTTCGCCAGAAGCTAACAGGCTACATACTGGCAAGAGGGCAAGACATCCTGGTCACTTTACAGTGTGAATGAAGGCGCGGGACAGTCTTTGACACGGAGCCTTCCCAATCAGCCGCTTCTCGGCGAATACTTAGCCTTCTTCCGGGTGGCCCGTGGGCCGTCACTGTCAACCGAGGAAGTAGTGTCAATCTGCAGCATCATCAATTACCGGAAATAGCCGCTGTCAATGTCACTATTGATAGTACTTAACTGTGTAGCAAGCCTACATCTGCCACACTGACTGTTGCTCCAAGCGTTTTGGTTAGATATCGAAACCTGATCTCAACTGACAAGCAGAGCTGTTGCCATCATTTTCTTGTTTTGATCACTTATTTGATCATTCCCGTTATTCCCTTTCGCCCTCCCCTCTACGCTGCCTGACTCTGAACTACCTTTTGTCTCAGAACTATTTGGCTGGTGTGAGTACCTAGTGCATGTCCTCCCTGACGAGTTGGAGAATACTCACCATCCTCAACACTTCGGACGTTTGATGTTTTACGCTGGACAATTATTTCCAGATCCTGTATGTTGCTCTGTAGCTGTTGGACCTTGGCATCGTAGAAGCGTTCGGCCGACTCGGTATCCTTCAGTTTTCGCAGTGTTAGCAGGCTTGGCTGCGCCTTCGCAGCGTGGTAGGAAATGCACCAACCTTCTCCACATAGAACCCTGTGCCAACGTCGACAATTACGTGCTTGGGGTCGGACAGCTCACCGCGCACGTAAAGCGAGTTTGTGAGGGGAACAAGTACCGATCTCTCGGCTGGGGATGTTATCAGCATTCATGACCTCTGAGACTGAGGGAACTGGGTGAGAGAGAGAAATCGCTAACCCTGTTCGGAACCAGGACGAGCTTTAACACAACGTAGGCACTCTCTGAACTTAGCCTGAGCGCTGTGCAGCTGGGCAAACGATGAGGTCAAGTGCTCCAACTCCTCCTCCAACTGTTTTTTGACCTGGCTTAGTTGCTGCACGTCCAGTGTCTCGAGGTTGACTTCCATATTAAATCAGTGAAAGACCTTTGACGTGGCATACATACACGTATGACTCACTCGTCTCAGAACCTTGGGCGGCCATGTCGGATAAGCTTGACTATTGCCGTGATATTGGGGATAGAATCAAATTCAGTCTTGCCAGCGTTGCGGCAGACAGGAACAGGGAATGAATGGAGTGGAAGTGACGGTTGATTTCGATTCCGCCTGGCGAGGGCTCAAAGTCTGAGATACGTACTCGGTGTTGTGCTGGTTAGTAAGGCCGACCACCAGGTCACGTGATATTTGGCGATGAGCGAAAGCACCGCCGCCAGCCAGGCCTCTAGAAACCCTTTTCTATACAGGCCAGATATAGCGTTAAAAAGACGACCAGATTGTATTCACTGTGTAGGAGATGACTTGATTACTGTATGGCCGACTGTTACAACACCCTATTTGTGGGACGTGCTCGCCAGACTCACTCGACATGCGTCGTTGCCGTTACAGCTTCTCCAACAACTCTGTTACCCGTCGACGGACTCCTGACAGCGGCACCGTTTCTCTGACGCCCAGTCTCCTACACTGCACTTCGCAGCCCTCATTCTGCTTCCACGCTTTACCGAGGACCACCACCACGGGGTATCCTACCAAATCTGCATCCTTGAGCTTCCATGACAATGATAAGGCGCGGTCATCCAATACTGCCTCTGGTTCCAACATTCCGGTTCTGGGCATCGTTAGTTCATCGTAGACATTCCCAGCCTCGTCGGCTAAGTCTGTTGATGATATCACAACGACCTCGTAGGGAGCGACAACCCTCGGCCACTGTAGCCCCCTTTCGTCTGCCAAATGCTCAACCATTGCACCGATAAGACGAGACACTCCAATCCCGTGACACCCCATCTGCATCGGAACCGTCTTTTCGGTAGCCAAGGGTTGACTTGTCCCGTTTGCGGCCGCTGTACCCATCGGCACGGAAACCGTCGCCCCGAGGGGCTGCGAGTATCTCGTCCCTAGATGGAACGTGTGCCCAACTTCCAGGGCCTTCTGTACTCTCAGAATGCCGCTCTCGCAGCTTGGACACCTGTCCCCTGCACGAACCGCCAGGAGATTCAGGCCCTGACCGCTCCGGTCCTCCATGATCGTGATAGCATCCAACTTTGACTTTGCCGTCTCCCATCGTGGTAAAGGCCACAACTTTGCCTCTTGAAGTAGCAACTCCTCAGCCTGTGCCGCCAGTCTGAAGTCGATCAGGTTTACTAGCCTCGGCGACTTTGCGGCGGCTTGCCCAGTTGTATGCTGACATTCGACAGCACGGGGCCAGAGACGCAGAGCGTCATCGACGCTTGCGTCCAAGCCGGGAATAATAGATTTCACGGCAGGTATGCTTACGTCAACGTCTGTTGTTTCCTCCATTTTCGTCTCCCCTGAAATTTGTGCTGGGTACCATACATTGACCAGGGTCGAGCGGTCCTTGCTGATCCCTCGCCATACTCTCACAGCGGACACTTTGGTGTTTTCGACCGTGGGGTGACTATTCAGCTTCGTAACGTCCTTGCGAGTTTCTGCCACCTCGGTATTAGCAGCATAATCGCAAGAACCACAGACAATGACTGTGTCCTCCCCAACAAGGGCCGGCAGATGGTATTCGTGGCTGAGATCGCCTCCCATATCGCCAGAGCTGGCCTTGGCCACCATCACTGGCAGCTTCAAAGCTTCAAAGACACCCTTATAAGCAGCTTGGACTTTGTGATACGTCTCCAACGCCGCTTCAGATGAGACGTCAAAAGTATACAGGTCCTTCATGGTAAACTCGCGGGATCTAAGAAGGCCATGCCGTGGCCGCAACTCATCACGAAACTTGCGAGCTTTGAATACTGTGTTAGTCTCTGCAGTTTCGCGGCACATTAGGCCTTCAGGCAGACCAACTCACTGATCTGATAAAGGCGAAGGGGCAACTCCTTGTAAGACCTGACAGTCTTCGCTACTAGGGAAGTGATTTCTTCCTCGTGTGTGGGTGACAGCATATACTGGGCCCCTTTGCGATCCTCGAATGCGAAAAGCTGTAGGGTTTTCAGTTATGTCGTCACCAGCAAGCCCTGCGAAAACGGACCTCTGATTCTAGCTGGGCTAGGCGACCACTTCTGTGCCAGAGCTCCTTGGATGTTATGGTTGATAGAGACACCCTGGAGGCCCCTGAGTACTAAGATCAACACTATGCCACTTTCGAGAATCTGGAGGCTTTACCCAAATTTTGCATGTAATGATCGATCAGACCCTCGAGTTTCATTTGGACACGCCTACCGAGGGGCAGGAGGTGGAAAACTCCCATGTGAGACTGTCAAAGCATGTTAGGAAGCACTCAGATGAAGGCATTCGAATGGTGTTGGCCGAACCTACCTGTCTGAGGAACCCTGCACGAATGAGCTTGTCGTGAGCACCTGTTCCCGGCTTAGTCAGTCGCCTGCAGGTGGAAGCAGCAGGACATTGTTTACCTTCATCTTTCCCAGCAGTAATGCCTCCAGTAGGGGTCCATATTGCGGAAAGTCGATGCCGAGCAGGCTCGCTATGATAGTGTCGAAAACATGGCTTGAGAATGTTAGTATCTGCCTTCCCTGAATATGAGTGATCCTGCATCTTGCGTGCGATTCTTACCCGAGACCCTGGCCAAGATTGTAGGTGAAGTCTGCTGTTACATAGCGTGCGGGTTTTTGACGGAGGCGTCAGTCTTGGGGCAAAGGTAAACATCGTTCCGACAGAACGTGAGCTTTCTAGCAGCTGGCGTCCCACGACTACCAACCCAGCTTATGCAGAGTTATGTCTGTGGGCATTGAGGGGTAGCTTATATCAGTTGGTGGCGAATGAACCAACGAGTCTCTAGTTTTGGCGCTGCAGTTGCCTAGCTGAAGCAAATGGCATTACCGGAGCAGGCGATCGGATAACAGCGAGTGCGGCAGGTAAAATGGCGTTCAAGTCGCGCAAAGCGGGTTTGCAAGCGACCTCTGGATGAACGTGGGTAACAACTCAACCGAACAGAAACTTGAGGGCATGCACCGGCTGATATGATCTCATAGACGTAAAGAATATTCGAATTAGCCCAAGTAGGTGGCCATTGAGCAAAAGATGTAGTGAAGCGTCGGGTCATGAGCCACACAGCTCGCAGTCAAGAAATGGACCTAGCGCATCTAATAATCTTTTCAGGGATTGGGAAAAACGACCACGAGCCGCATGTGCCCTCTACCAGCCGACCTGCAGGGGCGTGAACATGTCTTTCCCATGCACAGACCACCTAACCTTAGTGCGGTTACCTTAGTGTGGAGATAGAATTCACAAGCAACCCCACTTCCGTACCTAGCTAGTGGAATTTTTTTTTGCCCTCCGGAGCTGCTGCAGAGGCTGGATTTTCCCGGCGCAAAACTTCCTTATTCTGTTCACACTCGGGAGAATCGAGTTGCGCCAGAGCTCTATTTTCGTCAACCTACAAGACGTCTTCAGCCATGGCGAAGCCTAAACGTCATTCCGCTGGCAGTATTTCACAGCAGACGCGATTGAACGAGCAGTCGCTTACTGCGCTTACAGCCAAGATCGATAAGAATTTGGGAACGAAGCCCAACGGTGGCAGCAAAACCACCAACAAGAAGCGCAAACACGCCTCAGATGGGCCCTCCGCGAGTCCTCGACAACGAAAGAAACTTTCTCCGGGAAGCCAGGAACCTCGAAGGGCAGTGTCCACCAATTCGAAGACCAGCAAGAGCGATTCCCTATCTCGCGAAGCCCTGCTAGAGGAGATTCGAGCTTTGGGCGGCGACGAGGAGGACCTTCAGTTGATAGGCGATGTGGATTCAGACCAAGAAGACACCAACGGGGCCGAGGATTCTAGCATTGCTGTTGACAGCAAGCTTCAGGGCGAGTTGGCTGCCTTTGCTGCTCAGCTGGGACTCCAGCAATACCATGAACAAGAGACTATCGGCGGATCTGACGAAGGCGGTGGCAGCGACGACGACGTCGAATCCGTCAGTGAATCTGAAAATGGTGGCGAGGACTCCGAGGCAGAGACGACTGGCTCCGAAGCAGATAATCATCAGGAAGAGACCTTCGAAGAGCATCGCAAGGAGGCAAACAATGTGTCCAAGAAGCAGTTCGTGAGCAGAATCCTTGTCATCGCCGTACCGTGATTGTACTGACCTGTCTGCTCGCAGAAATTCGAGCCTCGTGCGGACTGGCACGGCGCTGCGTTAGGCAAGCTGCCAGAGCCCACAACAGCAGAGCTGGATGGGTACCTCGGCGCCATCAATGCGCTCAAGAACCATGCTCTTGCTCTTCTAGAAGCTGATGCATCCGTCTACGGCAAGAGTGTCTTGGCGTCCTCCTCTCACAAGTTTCTTTCTACAATCATGTCGTCTGGTACCTTGTCTGACAAGGTATCCGCGCTCACGCTGGCAATACAAGAATCTCCCTTGCACAACGTTAAAGCGTTTGAGTCCCTTCTTGGCCTTGCCTCCAAACGAAGTCGCGCTCAGGCAATTGGAGCCTTGGGTGCTTTGGTCGATCTCCTAGGTCCCGGTCTCATCTTACCTCCGAACAGAAGACTGCGAACTTTCCAGTCGCAACCTGGGTTATTGGGCACATTACAAAAGTCTGCAGTCAGCTCGTGGAGCTCAGGGCAGCCTTTACCTGGACGTCTTACCGAGCCACACCTTATCCAATACGCTTACGAGGACTGGCTCAAGTCCTCTTACTTCAAAGTCATTCAGCTGCTAGAGGTGTGGTGCAACGACGAAATCGAGTATTCCCGAACCCGTTCCCTCGACTTTGTGTATGGACTGCTCAAGGATAAGCCTGAGCAAGAAACAAACCTATTGAGGCTGCTGGTCAACAAGCTCGGCGACAAAGACCGGAAGATTGCCTCAAGAGTCTCATACCTGTTGCTTCAGCTGCAGAACACTCACCCTGGCATGAGACAGATCATTATCAACGCTGTCGAGCAGGAGGTTTTGCTGCGCCCTGGCCAGACCTTCAGAGCCAAGTATCACGCGGTGAACACTCTCAACCAGACCATCCTCAGCAGTCGCGAGGTTGGTACAGCAGAGGCCCTTCTCCGCATCTACTTCGATATTTTCGTGACCCTTCTGAACAGTTCTGTTTTGGGCAGAGCGCTCGGGGATGAGGAGAAGGAGAGGTCTGCCCCAGCCGGTACAGAAGGAGCCGCAGCAGCAGAGCGTCAGACAGCCGATAAGCTGGTCACCGCGGTTTTGACAGGTATTAACCGCGCAGTTCCCTTCGTGGCAGCCCAGAATCCCATGTATGTGCTCCTCAATTGCTTCGTCTCTTTCCCTGACTCGACAAGGAACTTACTCATCCTGCTCTAGTCTGGAAACGCAAGTGGACACGCTCTTCCGTATTGCACATTCCACGAATTTCAACACCAGCATCCAGGCACTCATTCTCATCCAGCAGCTTTCAGTCACGAGGCATCTAGCCTCGGACAGGTTCTACAGGACCTTGTACGAATCTTTGCTGGACCCCCGTCTAGCGATATCTTCGAAGCAGGCCCTCTATCTAAATTTGCTATTAAGGTCGTTGAAGGCAGACGTCGATACGCGCCGTATCAAGGCTTTCGCGAAGAGAATGCTCCAAATTTTGAACTTGCACCAAGCTGCGTTCGCTTGCGGACTCCTATATGTCGTGTTTCAGCTACGGGTCCAGTTTCCTGAACTTAGGGCTCTTCTTGAGGAGCCCGAAGATAACGATGCCGAAGGAACAGGTGCTGAATTCACGGAGCAAAGCAAGAACGAGCCCGCTTCTCGGGGATCAACATACGATGGCCGAAAGAGGAATCCAGAACACAGCAATGCTCAAAACAGCTGTCTGTGGGAAATTGTGAGCGCTATCGTCTCGTCATCTTGATAACAAGTCGCTCATGCTGTTATATCTAGGTCCCTCCTTTGACCCATTTTCATCCGTCCGTGTCAACGCTGGCCGCCAGTTTGTTTTCTGATGAGACGCAAATGGCTAAACCGGATCTGGAGAGTCATAGTCTGATCAGATTTCTCGACAAGTTCGTCTATCGCAACCCCAAGGTCGCTGAGACGAGCAGGGGCGCATCCATTATGCAGCCAGTCCGCAACCCAGACCCAGGTAGCATTTGGCTTGCCAAGAGGGCCGGTGCAGCTGCTGGAGCATCGATTAACTCGCCGAGCTTCTGGAACAGAAAAGCTGAAAATGTTGCCGTGGAGGACATTTTCTTCCATGAGTACTTTAAGCAGGCTGGCAAGAAAACCGAGACGGGGAAGAAGGCGGCCACGGCTTCAGCCGTCGCGTCTGGTGACCAGGAGGACGAGGGCGAGCAAGAGGACGAGATTTGGAAGGCCCTTACAGCTACGCATCCTGATGGACCCATCGACAGCGATGATTCCGACCTTGACATGGACGGTTTTGACGACAGCGACGGTTCCTCTGACGGCGCAGTTGTGTTTTCCGATGGCTCCGACATTAACGATTCGGACGGAGATGTCGAAGACGACACACTTGGTTTGGAGGACGACGGGGCTGAGGAGATGGATAACAGTGATGACGAGGGAATTGTTGGGTCTCCTGCTCCTCCGACCGAGGAAGCAACTGAGGATGAGAAGCCGAAGAAGGGTGGACGATCATCAAGGAGGAAACTCAAGGACTTGCCCATGTTTGCTTCGGCAGAGGACTACGCCGATCTTTTGGCTCAAGATGATGATTAGGCTGGGACAGTGGACTTGCCAACGCCATTAGAGGAAGGGATCAACGGTGAATTAGGATTCGGTATTCTAGCGAGGCTTCCCATGCCTTGTGTCCGGGCCACTACTCTGTGCTATTTTGCCCCATTATGTGTCAAACCATTCCAGTGGGTCATTCTTGGTGAAGATGGCGCGATAGGTCTTGTCGCCGTCAGAATGCTCCTTTTCCTCTGTGTGGATGCTGTGTAGCTTAGCCGGCTCGTCGCCTCCAGGCACATCAAAGGCTCTGAAGTGGATGTATGCAGGTCCTGAGTCGGACATGGCTGGGATACGAATCTTGCCGAAGAGGTGAACGCCGTAGGCTGAGACAGCGACTCTGACAGCGACGAGGTCCTTTGAGCTGAAACCAGCCAGTTGGTCGTCGTCCAGCTCCTCCTATATTCGAGCGTGTGAGCCAGGATGGACTTAAGATTCATCTACCACCAGCGGTACTTACAACAGCCTGGAAATACTCGCGTTCGTGCTCTGGTACGGGGTTGGACATCAGCTGGTGAACTTGTAGATCCCTTCCGACGAAGGCAGGGTTCTTACTCTGATATTCGCGGCGGGTATGCAGGAGCTCCTTCTTGAGCTCGTGCTCGATGTCCTTGAAGACTTTGATTGACTCCTCTTTAGGCTCATGGACGGGGCCCAAGTCTACTGTTTCAGCCGTAGCCTTGATGCGACGGCAGTATTACGGGTCAGGGAAGATGAACGAGAACAGCACTCCATCGAGTATTACATCAGAACGTACCATGTTAGGGGATGTGATGGATCTCCTCGAGATGATTGCACAAGAAGTGGCGGATAAGGCAAAAGTTGCAATGTTCCTGCTTTGATGGATCGATCAGGAGGGGTAGCAATGGAGGTAAAGTTTGTGATGTTTAATGTCGTCTCAGCAGCCAATTTATATGCCATCTGATCTTCCAGGGGAATCTGCACCTGAGGGGACCAAAGCGTCCGTCATCCACTGAGCAGCGATGTGATGGGACGGACGAAGCGGGAGCGCAGACCGGATGGGCGTTTGTATGCAGAGGGTCCCATTATTTCCGTCCCCCGACCGCAACTTGTATAGTTTCAGACGCTGGTAGGACATATGGGGGAGGGGTTGATGTCATTGGCATGGGTGACTACTTGCTCAGTTCTTGAACCCAGGCATGGCAGAGGCGGGTTACACAGGACAAGGGAACACCACCAGCAGTTGACGTAATCAAGCCAGTGGCAGTGAAAGCTGATCATCAACATGATTGGACGCCCGCATTGGGAAACACGACTGTCACTGTTCATACCTATACTTGGCAACGTTTCGCGAACGAGACGTTCCAGGCAGTACGAATTGGGAACAGTGAGTCTGGATATTGAGGTGGAAAATATGGGTCTTGACCACGTATGATTGGCTTCATCAAGCAAGGCACCTAGTCTTATCTTACCTTCTTCTTCCACATCAGCTATTGCATAGGAAGCTTCCGCGAGGCAAGGTGCCTCGGTTGTCTACCCCAGTTTCCCTGCGCTGCCTTAATTTGACCCTGCAACAACAATTGCCTTTCGGATAAGACACTTTTGCCCTCCTACCATATCTCTCCTGTCGACGACGCACGCCCTTGACGGACAGATTGGTCGCATATATGACAGCGACGCCGTTCGCTCCGCTGAGGCGGATGATAGCGCTGCCTGCAAGCCGTGCAGGAAGAAGCATCCCGAACGCGCTGTTCTCCCCGGCAGCTTGTCGTATACTTCTTCGACGATACCACCCAGGTGTCGGCGCACGTGAGTGTTTGCGCGAGGTCTCAATGCCTGGATGATTCAAGCTTACCCTGTTTCTCGCAGCTCCCATCGCGCCACCGGCATCAGCTCCCTCCCGCCTTCGCAGGGCAATCGCATTCGGCGCATATGGACTGTTGTTTGCAAGTCTCGGCTTTATAGCCGCAGCTAGCCCACTTGCGCCCAGTCTGCTGGATGCGACAAAACACCGGTCCGACGAAGACAGCTTGCGTCTTTACGTTCCAGAAGACGCAGAGGCCAAGGCAGTGGATGATTATATCAATAACCACCCTCTTGCGGCAACGATGCGCAGGGACGCGGACATGGTTGAATCTCGGCCACATATGAGGCTGCCCGATGGGTTAAGACGTCATAATCTTACTGGCGGTACACTCCTTGGCCCCGGGCGCATCACGGTACCTCCGATATGCTGGACCAGGAACGGTGGAAAAGCACTTGTCTCTATATCTCATCTTGGAACAGATATGTGCGGCCACCCTGGTATCGTGCACGGAGGTCTTCTGGCGACCATGCTTGACGAAGGTCTAGCACGCTGCTGTTTTGGGGCACTTCCACATAATGTGGGCGTCACCGCAAAGCTCGAAATCAACTACAGAAGGCCGGTTCACGCCGGGACATACGTGGTGCTAAGGGCGCAGACAGTGAGAGTTGAAGGGCGGAAGGCTTGGGTCGAGGGTCAACTGGAAACGTTGGTTGATGAAGGACAGGAGCCCGTTGTCTTGGCACAAGCAACAGCACTCTTTGTTTCACCTAGATTTGCATCGGTATGTTGTGTGCCGCCCTGTTGAACGACATCGGCCTTTCCCACGCTAACATTCTTCGCAGGTCATGGCCAAGCTCAGCGCAACATCTTGAGTATGAACCATGGTGGTCTTTCTCTCTCTCTCTCTCTCTTTTTTTTTTTTTTTTTTTTTTTTTTTTTTTTTTTTTAAGAATCCTACGAATTGCCTCACGGCTGGACCATTTGGGCGACAAGGTCCGTACGCAAGAAGCCCTGGCAGCCTGGCTCAGAAAGGCGTGTTGAGTATCAGTCTATCATGCGCCTAGAAAATTTCACGAGGGGGTGGGCTTCACTGATTGCGCAGCCCACCATTCCAGATGAATGGTGAATGACAGTTAGAGGTACCGGCCAGGCAAATATGAAAAGTGACATATTCGTGAAGAAAAGTCCCCACTAACATTGCGCAAGAAGGAGCTGAGACTGAGAGGGCCTATCCCTTCATATCTGGGGGGAGGGTCGAATGGCATCCGGTCCGGGTCGGCAGTCGGTCGATTGCGGTGCCGGGGCTCGGAGTTGCCTGTAGATCACAACCGGAGTGTGCTGCGTTGCGGAAATACGTACTTGGATGGCCTGCCAAGGTATGATCCACCTTTAGCCGATCTGACGCCATGGCTTCCGACTTTCTACACGATGAATTCTCTTTTTCCCTCTTTGTCCCCCCCCCCAACACCGTCCCCCCTCACGCTGGCCCAATTAGTCCGTTGCACGTCCCTTGTTTGCTTTGCCCGAGACCAGGTGTACTGCCCCTCCACCCCTCCAGAGCTGGTTACAAACTCCAGCTAGATTCCCACAACAAATGCTCATTGCCCTGAAAAGCCTTGAAAACTGTGTGAGTTGGTGCCGGCGTGCTCCACGTCAGATGGGCCGCGTTTTGTTGTGCGAGCGGGGGCGAGGGGACCAGAGCAGAAGACATTCCTTTCCTTGGATGACTTGGACGGCACCTACACTAATGTTGTACCTCAGTGAGCCGACACTTACAAAGTAGCTTCCATGACTTGGGTATAAAACTCCTGACCTGCTGTTCCTTGGTCCGAGCTGAAATATTCTGCGCGCATCTTGTAACTGTAAACTCTTTGGTCATCCTTCCACTCTCTTCCATCCCCCCGACCTCTACTGGACCACTGTCTATTGGTTCGTCGCGCTGACTTCCACAATGGCTACGTGAGTACAAACTCCACGCGTGATTATTACCCCTCCTTGGAGTTTGCGCGCATCCTCCAACTAACCGGCCGGGCTCTTCCACTGCGTCGCCCTGGCCTTGGCTTTGTGACTTCCTCCATACTCTTCGCATCTATTCAGTGCGCAGCGCCTCGACTGATCGAAACGTGTTATCTTTTAGGAACATTACATGGCACCCGTCGCTTTCCCGCCACGAGCGTAATCAGCTGCGTCGCCAGCGTGGCTTCACCATTTGGCTGACTGGCCTCTCTGCCTCGGGCAAGTCGACCGTGGCGACCGCTTTGGAGCAACATCTCCTGCACCTGGGTCTTGCTGCCTACCGTTTGGATGGCGACAACGTTCGTTTTGGCCTCAACAAAGATCTGGGATTTTCTGAGAAGGACCGGAACGAGAACATTCGTCGTATCGCAGAGGTACATTGCTCCCCCCTCTTCCTACGCACGCCACCAACTCAATGCCATGTTTCTTGCTGATCTGATGCTCTCCAATAGGTTGCTAAGCTGTTCGCTGACTCCTCGACAATCGCCATCACTTCCTTCATCTCTCCGTACCGAGCAGACCGGCAGGTTGCCCGCGAGCTGCACACCCAGGCGAGCCAAAGCGACGACGACGCTATCCCTTTCATCGAAATCTTCGTTGACGTCCCAATCGAGGTGGCCGAGCAACGTGATCCTAAGGGGCTTTACAAGAAGGCCAGAGCAGGCGAGATCAAGGACTTTACTGGCATCTCTGCGCCGTATGAAGAGCCTGAAAACCCCGAAATCCGCATCAGGACCGATAAGTCGAGCGTGGAGGAGTGCGTCGCGCAGATTGCCGAGTGGTTGATCAAGGAGGGTCTCATTTCATCCACCAAAGCAGCTTAAAGTCCACGTTCTTGCCTGCGAAGGCGTTGCGGTTTCTTATCTAGTTGCGTGACTACAGAAACCGTCAACTCGTGGCAGTCAGAGCTCCTATTCGGTCATTGCCGCTTTCCCCACGTGCGTCGGGTGTTTTGTGGATACATAGACGTATGGATATTAGAGCCCTCGTCGGTGCATTACTCCGTTTTCACTTGCTAAGCCTAAGGAAAGTCGAATTCGTAGTACACATACGCTGTGTACTCGTGACCCTCGCCTCCGCCCAATCCAGCTGCTGCCATCTCAGACGACAGGGTTGCATCGTCTTTAGTGATTTTTCCACGCTTATCTCGCCCAAAAGCGTTGCCTCCCAGGTAAGAATAGTTGGAATCGAGGGAAGTCTTGACCTTCTTAGCCAGCTTTGAATTCGTCTGAACAGTGGGTTAGCAACGTGGACGCGGGTTGATTGCGAGAATCACTGGGCGATCACTTACCTTTACTAAGACGCTGACGTAGTCGAGAGGAAGCCCGTACCGCAGAACTGCCTCGACAAAGACGCGAAGTGCTAGAACATGAAGCCATATCATGACGCTTTCGCTCCAGCCCGTACGTCCGATTCTCAAGGCCTCTCCCCACGTCTTCTTCTCTTCGCGGGCTACTCGATCAAGCTCGCGCTGTTCCTCCTCCTTGCCACCTTCGACGTATTTGTACTGGCGGGGTGTCCACTTCTGTTCGCGGCATTTTTGTAGGAACTCGGCGCTATGTTTCTTGAAGGACGTGGCAGAGTACAATGTGAACTCGTCATCCTGAGCTACTTGTGCAGCTGACCGTGGAACAACCATGGGTGCAAGCGTTTCGTAGCTTCTCAAGAAGTCCTTCTTGGCATTGTTGGGCACAACTATCAGGTGTGTCTCGAGGTATTCTGAGTCTTGAATAAGGATTGCAGGGTCGACAATCGGCGTGAGCGACTTTGTCGCGAGGTTGCCACTAGCGTCAATTTTACCATCAACAATCTGCAACACGGGGGTACTCGGGTAGTACTCAGGTAGTGAACACATACGTTTGCTTGCGCTGTAGTGTGGTGAAGTTCGTCTTGACCGAGTTGTACTGATTAAACTTGCTTTTGACATCGTTGTCGGTAGTGATAAGTTCCTAGTGTTCTCTTGTTAGTCATGCCTCGCAGTACACCTTTCGGAAGCTCTCGATCGTAGCATACCTTTTGCAGCGTATCGACAAGCTCGCTCAAGCTCTTGTCGGCACGGTATCGAACTTTATTCCACGAAAACGAGCCTACGTACTGATCGGTAGGCTCTTGAAAAAACAATATTGTCAGCGGTTTATGACGATGTTAAAGACGAGAATGGACGCGGGTGAAATGCATACTGTCGTTGACCATCTTCTGCTGCGCAATTTTGTCCTCATCGCCATCGAGAATCGACTTCAGTGAATCAGCAACCTTGGCAACGACGGCCTCGCAAGTAGATTCCAGTTTGGCTAGGTCGTCGGCCTGCTGGACCAAGGCATCCAATGTGCCGATCTTGAAGTCTGGGATGTTGAAAGGCCGGACGTTGCCATTCTCGGGCGAGATCGTTGCGCTCAAGGAAGCGATGGCATCTTCCTTGTCACTCGAGTCGAAGATGCCGAGGGGTAGAGAGACAAGGACGTATTTGGTAGACATGTTGATGATGATGGCTAGCAGTCCATGCGTATCAGCAGGTGAGCGCGGTAAAGTGCTGGCTAGGGAGCTGAAACGATGACGATGGCGGCAACGAGTTGGAGCGATCCAACGTGCGAGAGCTAGCTTGAGGTAACAAGAGGTCTTGAAGGGAAGGCTTAGGTAAGGAAGCTGACGGGCCTGAACACCGAGTCGCTTTGGATATTAGGGGAAAGTACCTGACACGACGACAGGGGTGGTTGGCGGAAGCGATTGCGACGCTGATATGAATGTTGCAGCCCCCGAGATGTTGGTCAGTGTGGAGGAACGGGCTTAAATCTAGGCGCCCTTAAACATGCCACAGGTGTTCGTTTTGGTGGCCTTGGAGGTTTGATGAGAAGAAGGATATCTTGAGGTGCCGGGAAGATAAAGACAGCCGACGTCTGTCAACCTAAGGTTTAGGTCAAGTGAAGGCCACCTCCCTCTGCTAGGAGCATCGCACAGCCGCGTCCAGGAGCGGGCTCTGTCCTTTTGGGGCGCTGAGCTCTGGGCAGCTAGCGGATTAATGCACCTCCCCCCTCAGATGAGGTGCCTACGGGTGGCAGGGCTCTGTGTCACTCGCGATCAGCCATCAAAGTCCTGGCTGTACTCCGCGTCTACCGCCTCCGCACCCTTAAGGCCACTCTTTGCATCACTTCTGTTCTCGTTCCTCGACGGTCATTCCGAATGAAGTTTTGGTCTTGTTCTCTCTTGCTCGGTCATCAACGTCGCGCCATCGCTAAACCACTCGAAAGCTGGTCTGCCAGTAACACTTCTCGTTACTCCAATTCGCTGCGTTGCTGAGAGCCAAGCCTTCACGCTGTGAAGCTGCCGTGTCTACGCAGTACAGCCCATAGCGCTCACCATTCCACTTTGTCACGACTGGCCGACCCATGATGATGTTGCACTCGTGCTCTGCGGCCCAAATTCGAAGCAGTTGACTCGGAGAATCACCGTAAGAAATTACGGGCTACTTGCGAGCGTCGGATGGGTCGCGATTCCCATAGCCTGCTCGAGACCCATCTCCACGTCACGAATCGACGGCCCATCGTACGTCCCTGTGTAACCGAATAGTATTAACACTACAACAAGCAATCGCGCCGCACTCACAACTACGGCACCGGCACCGGCCCCGGCCTCGGCCTATTTGCGTTTGGGAATGAGAACCAGTCTACAACGTGGCATACGCTTACAGCAATGGCTACCATCGCAGGTTCGCATTTCCCCCGTCAACTGCTCGTCACTTGCTCGTCACTAGCCCCCCTGCTGACCATGATCTTTTGCAGCATCCCTTCAGACGCTGAAACCGGCCGCAGCTATTTCGAACGAAGAGAAAAGCACTTCTGACCAACATACTTCGCAACCACCCGTTTCAGCTTCTGCAAGCCACAGAGGTTCGTTGACCAGACTTGTTTCTCCATGCTACTGCTCTTCTGCGGCAGCCCTGCTTGTTGTCAACTCTGTATACCTAGGCGGGCGGCTGACTCTCAGGCAACAGGCGAATCTCATGGTTTTGGGATTTTACAACACACGGGGCCTCCAGTGCAGGATGATATTCCCGGCCTGTACAGAGATGGTCGCGTTCGGAATCCAGTTCCAAGCAAGCTGAAGGGCAAGACCGATGCCAGGAAGGGAAACTTTGGTGTCATGCACATTGATCTTACCACTACGAATGAAATTCAAGAGCGGGATGCGGCGGCGAAAAGGACGAGTGAAGGCACCCAGCTTGCGGCGAAACTAGCCCAGACAGACAGATACGTTCCCATCAGGCGGAGCAAATTCGCTTATCGCCCAGGAGATCGAGATACTTCGACATACCCTCCAGCTCCTCGTCATCGGACCTCGCCCCTTACGGCCGCCGAGACCAAGGCCGAACAAGCTCGCTTGCTAACGCTTTTGCGTGGTCTTCATCCGGTTCTGGTGGTCGATCAACTGTGTAAAGCGCTGGCGTTCTTCGGTGGCGTTCCCGGTGCAGCATCCACCGATGAATCTTTTCCGGACAGTGCTGAGTCCAATGGTCCGGGTTCACTCTTCATCGGCTGGCTAGCTGAGATCTTTCCAGCTCTTGGTCCCAAGTCGTTGTCCAATTCGCAACAGTCAATAGTGAAACGTCCAAGGGGACGACCGAGAGGAAGTAAGAATGCAAAAGGGAAAAAAGAGAAGAGCCTCAGAAAACGTATCTTGTTTGGTGCCCGTTCATTACAAACATCAGAAGGTCGTCTTCTAGGCAACGGGTCTGTCCAGGAGGGGCCTTCAGATGACAGTTGGGTCGATATCGAAGACGCAGCACCCCTAAGTGACGGAGGTAATGCGACAGGAACAAGGCGTGATGCCACTGCCGATGACACCGCAAAAGTATCTCATGAGAGTAGTTCCGTAGCGGGGCCGAGTGTCTCCGTTAGGGAGGAACCCATCAGTGCTGTACCCGATGCCTCTCGCACACCACCTCCAAGACGGCGAGGGAGGCCTAAAGGATCGAAAAACCGGCCAAAGGGTGGTGTTTCCGTGACGAATTTTGATCAGCAGAAAGCTCCTGTCACAGACCATGATATCATGCCGGCAAGCACGGGATCTGAAGTATCCAGCATCAAGAAGCGAAAGCCAGGTCCTGGCCGCCCCAAAGGATCTAAAAATCGACCGAAGGAACCAAGAACAGCGGTCCAGGCTGGCAATGATCATCGACAGTTGGTAGAAAATAGCCAACATCACGGGCAGGAACGCAATTTGGTCGCCCATGGGACTGCCGGGCCAAGCTCTCACCATCCATCTATATCAGCACCTACAGAGTGTGGATCTGCTGAGCCAATGGGACCTTCCAATGCGGTGCGAATGACACTCTCTGAGGTTTCTCGGCAATATCCCGCCGAGGTTTCTGAAGCCGTTTCCATTATCAGCGGTGAGTCGAGAGGGGCGAAGCGGAAACGCAAAGCTCCCGCAACCGATCCCAATGTCGCGCAAGCTACCGGATCGGCTTCTATTGACCCCGAGGTTGCTACCCAAATAGCGATTGACACAGCATCAGATCCCGTAACTCGGGAGGTGCCTGCATCTGAAATGACCACCAATGCCGTACCTCTGGGTCAACCTGGCAATGGAATGCAACAGTCAGCTAAGAGGCGGAAGCCAATGAAGGAGATACCACGACAACCTGCTTCAAGGAATCGCTTAGGGTCGTCCTCGGATCACAGCCAGACTGTCTCAACACCAGTTGCAACTAGCTCGCATACTTCGCAGCAGAAACCATCTACAGAACAGATCATCAGTCGCAATGCTAACGCGGAGGACCACGCCGAGATTATACCCTCACAGACTATTAGCCAAATGAGCATGTCTATTAGCCACTCGACAAACTCGCAAAGCACTAGCTCGCATCAAGATGGGCCTGAGTTACGTGTTGGCTTCAGTCCAAGTCGTGCCCCTAGCAGTATCGTTCAACAAGCCCACGCCAACGAGTCAATGGCCGCCGGCGCCTATCCCATGTCCCTGGCGGGCGACTCGCCAACGAGCATGTATAGCAACAGTCACTCTGTTCAGGGGCAGTTTGAACATCAAGTACCGCAGCAACAACAGCGGCAATCACATAGCCAGCAGCGGATGCTTCATCAACAACTACAAGCCCAGCAACGGCAACTTCAGCAGCAAGAAAAACAGCAGTCGCAGGAGCCGAGACAAAAAGCCCGTGTCCTTGACCGTTCCCACATGAATCAACACCATCGTATGAAGCCGACTAGTGGACCAGTTTCTTCGTCAGTAGGACGCGATACGAACGCCTTTGGTGGACCTTCCAACGATGGGGTGTATCAGGGGCTCATGACCCAGCAGTCACCCTTCGGCACACAGATGGCCATGGCGACATCTCCTGACGGCAACTACAGGAACCCTGCACGTCGTTCAGTACAAAATCAATCGCCAGCTTTTCAGAATCGCCAAGTCCAACACGCAGCTCCCACGAGCATGCCGTCATTCCACGACTACTCGGACCCAGCATTCTTGGAAATGACAGGCATTGACTCTACGGGCCAGGCCAGCCTGTCTATGGGACAACAGCCTTACGGTATGACCAGCACCTCTATACAGCGGCCATCATCGTCACTTGGTGCACCATACCAAACAGCTTCTGAGATCAGCCATTCGGCATCTTTTGATGGCTCCGTGACGGAATCCACGCTCAGAGAACGAATGTATCATACTTTGCGCCGTCAGTAGGGCGCAGTTGCAAGCTTCTGTAATATCCTATCCTTGGGTTTCGACGGCGCTGATGAGGACTAGCCTTTCCAACCTAGTTATCAGCTGAAAATCAAAGCAGCCTCACGGTATATCTGTACAACGTTTGATTAAATGTGTCACGAAGTTCACGATTTATGTTTTTTTTTTTTTTTTTTTTGAAACCACTTATTTGAAATTGGGGTACTGTGAGGCAATGTTTTGCCCTGACCAAACGGATATCATGATTTTGTTTGCAGGTAGATGGATAGATACCAGGAGTATCGGTTTTTGAAATAAGCCAAAAGGAACTCAAGACAGTCTGACGCCTTTGTCTCTACCAACTGTTCCTGCCTCCCCATGCTGAATCACGACAAAGAAGACTAACCAGTTAGGTTACGGGTGAAAAGACAAAGAGAAAGAAAAAAAACCCTGAACGGCTAGGCTGAGCTTTTTCGCGCGTCAACTTCCCATGGCCGCCACCCTCGCCGACCTAAACGCCAGTATATGCTGAAGATGCCCACTCATTCTCAAACGCCATCAATAGAGTCTTCCTCTATAGCTTCAAGTGGAGGACGCACAGATTCAGGTGTGCTTCGTCCATACCACCATTCATCCTCCTCTTCCGTACCATCGTCTCGAATCAGTTCCAGCATAACCTGAGCATTTCGCTTGATGTCCTGCGTACGCTCAACAATGCCGCGTTCCATTATGAGAGCCTCCGCCGTCGTCATCCAGATTTGCTGAAGGCTTGGTAGGTCCTCGAGTATGCGGCGAACCTGATCCCGTCCCAGAGGCCCCATGGGCATGCCTGCCGCGAGACTAGTATTGAATATCAGGTTGGTATCGCAGAGCTCCACAGTGTCGTCTAGAGATGTTCGAGAAGTGCGTCGTGCCGGAAACCCTGCCTGCGGTGAACCTTTGGTGGAATCTCTGACTGATAGTGATGATTTCTTGCGCCCGAGTCCCATGATACCTCGTCTTTGCTTCGGGGCCGGTGACTCGACGGTATCTTTAGCTACTGCATTATACCATTCGTCAACCGCCCCTCTTCTGCTGTTGTATCCCTTAATCTCCCAAAGCCTCTCAACCTGTCGTAGACCACCTACGCAAAGGATCGCAACGTGAATTTCGTCGGCTGGCTTCTCTTTCAAATAACCCCTTAACGATCGTTCGACGCGTCCGGCGTACGACGGGGGACGTAATCGTCGACAGAATGAAGAAATTATGAGGGGGAAGACTTGATGAACACGTAGCAACGTCTGGTCATCATACATATTCATAATCTTGACCTCGATGGGGTTCAAAGTATAGGGCTCATGCAGCAAACCGTGGCCCCCATGATCAACAATATGTTGCAAGTGTAGTTTTCTGTAAGTCTCAAAGAAATGAAAGACGGTGAACAAAAGCGGAATCAGTCGTCGACGCATTCGTTCACGTTGGGTGGCAAACTCTTGACGTTGGGCATCTGTTGTTCGCAGGAATATTTCCTTGGTGATCCATTCACACATTAGGAAGGACAACTTCGCAGCCACATGGAGACGGTGCCATAAACCGCATAGATGGTGGAAGTTGGCAGCAGATGGATCTCTCGAAGGATAGAGTCGCAGAGCGTATGCTGGAATGTGGTGATCCAGGTGATAACGAACTATAGGCGCCTCGTTAAGAGTTATAAGTGTATGCCATGCCTTCGATACCCGGCGTAGGTTGAGGACGTCCGTCAATGGTAATGACGATATGATTTGGATCTGAAGCTCGGTGGGCAAATCAAGGAATAGTTGATCGAACGGAAGCCTGTGTATTGTCAGAAACAGTGAAAACGAAACATGAATTCAGGATTTAGTAAGGTGTAACAAACGTCTTTGGCCTCGAACCACCTCCGGCTTGCTCTGGCAGTTCGGCGTGTGTTGCCGAGGACTTGGAATGAAATATGGAACTCTTGGATCTTAGGCCGAAAAGGCGACTCTTCTCGTGACGCTTCTGATCTGCGGGCCGAACGAGTTCGATATCGGTCTCGGTTGCTTTGGAGCTACGGAGGGGAAGAATAAAGGTGGACGGCGGCTGCGAAGTCGTATGATGAGAAGAGTTAGACTGTGGCGAAGGGAGGTGAGGATCGCGGGACTGAGACGGTAAATGAGCTTCCTGGGCTGCTCTGAGTTGATCGAGTTTCGTGAAATAACGCTGGGAAGCGAACTCGGTGAGATGAGGCGGATCCATTTTCCTGCTACCGTACTGGACGATGATGCAGTAGGATGGAAGGGTTGAGGCCTAGAGAACCCAGCATAAGGGTGCCCGACTGATCGTCTCTAGTCGGTGCGGAGAAGGCCAAGCGAGGGAACAAAACTGTCGACAAAGCCAGACATTCGCGTCTCAAGCATGGCTGAGCATTTGGTAATTGTTGTGGCAATAGAATCGAGGGACGTAGGGAACGAGTTTCGCGGAAGCGGATTGGTTAACGGAAAGGTTGGGTCGATAGTTTGGTGAGGCACGGTAAGCTGTCGGCCTTTCTTCGACGAGTCTGGCGCGCACCAAGCGCGAAATCGTGGGATATCGATCAAAAAGGGAGCGCGCAGAGAGTTGAAGTCGGAAGCGGCGGCAATGTCGAAGATGATCGTTAACCGATTTTCGGGTGACGTTTGGCCGCAAGGTGAGATGCGATGTTGGCTGGGGTTGGCGAAGGTGTCAAGGGAAAAAAAGGATGAGCGAGTGGGCGGGAGCGGGAGAGAGAGCAATGCAGCCGGCCTGGAGGAAGAGAGAAGGAAGAGGTGTGCAGGGTGTATGTGGGAGTGGGTGTGAGTATGTGTGCACTTGGCAAAGGTACCTTATCTGAGTCTAGGTGCTGTGCTGCAGTCCCAGTCCCAGTCCCATCGGTTATGCTCTCCCTCCCGTCTCCTTCTCTCAATACTTTTAGGTTGGTATCTCAGCCTCTGTCCCGAATAGTGGTCGGCAGCACAAAGTACTGTAGTATGCTGGGAGTGATGTGAGGTTCTTCGGGCACAGGGGCGCTGTGTCCAGCACAGCAGCGCTTTGCATAGCGCCTTTTCCAGGTGCGTAGGCGCCTAAGGTAGTGTAGTTGAGGTACCTTGCCCTGCGAGTGGCAGTGGCACTGGACCAGATGAGACCGTCAACGAGCGCCTACAACGAGTCGCGAGAGAGGGATCGGCCGTTCGCTCATTCTGGATGGCCCGGCGGTATGTGCGGCGAATTAGTGGAGAGGCCCAAGTGAGAGAGGGCACTTACTTGTTAAGGGGGCCGACGTAGACACAGTTTCGAAGCACTGTACGTATCCAGTGCGGAAAGTTGCTCGTGCTTAGCCCGTTCCTTGCACAGTTGAGCTGATGGGTCGGCAATCGGGGAAAAGGCTGGATGTAACGTGCACAATTCAGGCTGGCACGGTGAAAAGCGGGAAAGAAAAAAAAGCGGCCGAGTAAAACACCGTAAAAGTGACCGGACGGAGCGTTGCCACCCCACAATTGCGTCGCCATACATGCGCAGTTGAAGTTCCTTCTCTAATTTCTCTGTCTTGCCAGTGGCATTCGTCTGTTAGCCACTATGTGCATTTGCAAGACACTCTTGCTTGTAGTTGGAAGTCGGTCGTCCCAATGCGACCACTTGACCTTGAGGTAAGGTAGACGATGACAGCGTTTGTTGCCGTACCAGTATAAGTCCAAGCACCGTCGCTTTCTTCAACTCAGACTTTCAACTAAGGAGAGGAAGAAATCTTTACATGGCTTGAGCCTCATTCATTGCTTTGCTTGGTTGCGAGTGGTTGGACGAATCTGTACGTGTGGTTCTTGACACCCTACCCGAGTATCTACCGTGTGCGACTGAAAGTTCCAACTTGTGCCACTGGGTTTTGCCGTTTCGGCGCGATCACTCGGGACCATCACGGAGCAAAGAGCCTTGCGTGCTTGATCTGACCCAGAGTAGAACCCGGCGCAACATGGGAACTGCGTCCCCGACTGGTGGGTCGGGTTCCCTAGAGCATCTTCACCTTTGCCTCCCGGAGCATCAATACACTTGACCAACAGACTAACCGGGCGTGGCCGGCGCCGCCGATCTGGGCTCGGTGATTAGGTGGGCCTAAGCATTCGTGGGCGGGCGGCTGGATTGCGGGAGCTACGCCTCGGGACGGGCGCTGGAAGATGGCGAGAAGCAACGGCGAGACACACAACGGGAAATCGCACTTGAGGTGTATCCAAGTTCCGCTCTGTGATCTACGGCCACAATGACGGTGATGATGTTTAATTGCATGTCGTAGATTGCTAACACTAGCACCCGATGGCTTGATGATGCGACTGTTATACATACTTCAGGTAGGGAAAATCTGACCAACACATGGCCCGCTACCTAGGTATCATGGGGTAGGCACGTACTCAGGTAAGGTACATATCGGTATGGCCAGCTAGCGAGTGGATAGCATGGCAGGTATCTGTGGCCATGGACGCGGCAGATTCGACCGAAGTCGCCGAAGTTGAAGCGATGAAACCGACTCGATCAGCTTAGCGCCGTCTCGGATAGGACAAGCAGCGTGGAGCTAGCGGGGTTGCGGACGTCGGGCTGGGGACGGTGGATTCTGGACACTGGGGAATCGCCTATAGTATGGATACGCTCACTAGGTACCGCACCTAAGGTAGGTAAGGTACCTTGGCTAGGTACCTTACCTTACCTCACCTTGGGGCATGGAATAGGCGGGGGAGTCAGAATGGTGCCAGCTGTGAGGTTACCTTGAACCGTGCCCACCGTACTTTCTACTCATATGGGCGCCTTAGCCTGCGAGCGCCCCTCGGGCCTACCGCGGCCTTTCTCTGCCACCTCCCTACCTAGGTAGGTTCTAAGGCGTCTTCACATCCACTCAGCGTGTTTTCCGGTCTGGCGTTAGGTGAGTACACCTCACGGCACTGCGTCGCGGGCGAGACACATTGGTCTTTGTAGGTTTCCGGCTATCGGATACATACCTGTCCGTACGTACTTGCCTAAGATACGGAGTCGGCGCGGATACGGATACCGTACTTTAGACCCTTTCCTTGTGGTCAAGTTGATACTGTTAATGAACGCAACATCTGAGCCTGTGTATGCTTGATGAAGCAAGGATGCCAGCCGTGCAGGCATGATATACAAATTCCCACCGTTCACCACCAACTTTCCACCAGATGTCACCTTCTTACGGACACAGAAACACCTTTGATAGACACCATGTCGGAATCGGCCCATACGTGGATTAAACGCAGAGCTGTCCCGTGTAGCAGGAGGGATCCCCGTTCCTCTGCAGCCCTCGTTTTGCTTGTCTTCCGTTCGTCACGGTTTCCACTTCTCCAGTCTAGGTACCTTACATCACGCTCCATACAAAGTGACAACACTAAGGCAGCAGTAAACCCGGATGTGATTCTCCAGTTCAACTCCACATTAGGTACTCCGCGTTCTCTCCGCGCAGTAACCTGCAATTGCGGGCAGGATGTCTGTTGATACCCTTGAAGCCTAATAGCACTCTCTCTGACTCTCAAGTCGTTGAAAAAGCACCCCACTGCCACTACCTACTACTTCCAGGACATCGTCCCCACGCCAAGGCGTTGGCACTCTACTCTTTCCGTCGCACGCCACGGCAGCGACCGTAAATGCCCAAGCATGCTCCCGTCTTTGCTCTGCCTGCTAATGGGGAGTTGAGCCTTGGTAACTGGTTCTGGATCATCCATGCCAAGGTCATATGTAATGCCAACACGGGCAACGCGTTTGGGAATACTTGCCACAATATCTGTACCTGCCCCGGCATGATCAGCCTACGTTGGTCCCCAATGAACCAATCAGCCACACTTCGGGTTCCTACGCGAAATCCGTGGTCTCGCCTCAGCCGTGATCCAACATCCCTCAATGAGGTGGAGCCCGCGTTGCATCACTCTCTACTCGCTGGTCTCTGGTTCGGTATCTCTTCCTGCATCCCAAGTTTCCAGCCGTCTAACCAACACTGAAGGTGTTGAACTGCATTTTCGCCAGCAGCCTCATAGTCCCCTGCCCCCCTTTTGCATTCAACCCATCTCTTTCCCAACCACGTTTGGTGCCCCCTTTTCAGTAGGCCACTATTGCCGGCCGCTATCCGCCTGTAGTCCAACCTCGCACACCGGGACTTTGGTCAAGTTGTCGCCTTTGCCGGAGGTTTTGAAGACGACAGGCTAGTCTTCCGTGCATGAGTAGCATTTGTCATTCGCGTCAGTGTCCCGGTCTTCAAGTATTCCGCGTTCGCCGCGCCCCGCACCGCGCCGTGTCAGGGTAAGATCTCGGCTCTTCCCCAGGTGGAAAGAAAAAGCCAAATCGCAATGGACGGGCCGAGTGTGACCCAGTCGTCCGCATCGCCGTCCTCTTCGGCGCCGACCCCCGATCTCCACGCCGAACGGTACAGATCTGACCGCCCCTTGCATGAACCTCCATCTGATCCTGGCACTTCAGACCTGCCTGCTCTAGCTCGTTTCGAGTTTCAGGCGGGCAGGGGCAATGATGGCACAAAGATACTCATGGTGGAATGGAATGCCTCCTCAGGCCCGCAGTCATTGCTGTCTGCTTCGGGGACCTGGCAAGTTTCGTGGGAAGGCAAAACAAGTCATGTGCCGGTCGAAGACGAAGAGACGGGGAAGAAGAAGCGTATTTATTTCCTGCTGCCGCCAGGGGCAGCCGTCCCGTCGGTCATTACCATCGCGCACCCAGATGGAACTGCTTTCACCACCAAGTCACTGCCGGCCATTTTCCCTCCAGGCCTAGGTGCTGGAAACTCGGTGATTGGGGCAAGAGGCATATTGCATACTATCTGGGCCAAGAAGAGACTTGCCGAGCTGGAGGACGAAATTGTTTCTGAAATGAAGACAAATTCAGAAGGCATTGGGCTAGAGATAGCCTACCAAGAGCGCCAGTGGATCGTTGAACAATTTGGTGTGAACCTCAAAGTCAACATGGGTGTCAGTGGCAGTGCCCCGGCGGTTGCACCTGCACCCCGGGCTCTGTCTCCTTCCATGTCGCCAAAGTCACCTATTGGAGGAAAGCTCAGTCAGAAGCTCGAGGGACTAAAGCTGGCAACATCGGCGGCGGACCTGGTGGTTGGCCGGGCTGGTAAGATTCCCGCCGGCATCTTGTAGTTGCGCCGTTGAACCAAACCTAACCTGAGCTTGCTAGGGGAAAATACCTACCTTCAACCCACATCCTTCTCGCCCGCTTCTAATGATGTAGCGATTTCCTCCTTTCCGACCTTCGCACGGCAGGGCCATTCCAAGGTTCGTGGCGATGCTGCCGCCTCGCTGGATGCTGTACTGGGTAACAACGAAGCCTACGTGGAGGGGAACGAGTACGACCAAGAAGAAGATCTCTTTGCACTTCCTATGAGCCCCCGCAGCCCCGACATGGGACAAAGTCCATTCAGCCTCGAGTAGCTTTAGGCATATGTTACTATTCATTACGTGCCTACTCGTCTGGGACATCATTGGATCACGCATGGCATGGGTTGTGTTCCTGGCGTGTATGTTTCCTATATAGTCGCAGATGTACTGGGCAAGTATTTCTAGGTTCGGACGGTACCATTGACCAAGTAGGAGCTTCCGACCGTTCCCACTCACTCGTTCGGTGTTATGGACCGTCCCGCGCTGAGTGGATCATTGCTGTCCTTTTGGATATTCATCTACTCGAGAGTAGTCGGCTTACTTGAAAGCCCTCCCAACGCATACTTCCGAGAGTATGACCCAGTAGCAGCTTGCCAAATTCCTTTGCCACTCTAAATTAAGATATTCGACATGCAGTAAACCTCCCACCGGGCTGAAATATGATTACCTCCAGCCTCCAACACGACCTTCGTCCCACCGTTCTTTTCTCTCTTGCCGCAGGTAATGGAGCACTTTGGCATCTCTATACCTTTTGATCCAATCTAGCGTTTCCCTTTCCGACGCAAACGCACCATCCCCTTCTCCATCGATGAAGCTTTCCTCAAGAACATGGCAAATAGAAGATTGTTCGTGCACCCCTTGACCCAATCTTTGGTACAGGGAAGCTGGCGAGAAAGGTGACAGAGCATGGTCCATATCGGACTGCTTTTGTCGCCACTGTCGTTCCAACGCATGCGTAGAGAGAAGTTGAGCCTGGGTCGTTGATCGCTGGTGCGCTAGTCTAGCCTCGAGTTCGATCAGGCGCGACGCTAGTTCAAGATTCTCAATCAGGGCTCCTTGAAGAGCTTGATGAGAAGCAGCAAGCGAAGGATGAATTGTGCTCGGTGCATGAGTAAGAGCGCTCAGAAGTTGGGGGTTCGTCACAATGTCGGCCAGATCCTGTTTCCTGCAGCTACTATTAGTTGTGGATGAGGCCGTACCTTCACCGGTCGTGTCATACGACTTATCTTGCACCGCTGTTGGGAGCCATTGATCACCTGGGTCTGGAACGGGTTGTGGTCTCGCGAACTCGAGCCCGGCTTGCTGATGCGCAAAAGATCCACGATTGCTGCCCGCCCCTTCAGAATTGATGCCCGAGCCGGCGCCGGGTCGAGGTGAGTTAGAAGTGACGGGCGTGCCGATACGGCTGGTGTCGTGGCTGCCTGGTTTGGGCGGGAGCGATGGAGGTGGAAGAGCGTGCATGGTATGATGGAATATCGACGTATCCGGCTGTGGACGTGAGAGTAGGGGAAGAATCTATGAGATGACCAGAGCTAGATAACCTCGCAACTGGCGGCTGGGTTCCTGCCTTGGCAGGCTTGCAGAAATCAATATGAAGCTCAACTTGGTCAACCGACGTCAGCGCGACTGAGCGATGCTTTGATGTCCGTGCTGTTTACCGGGGTCGTGACCGCGGGGGTGACGGTCACGCCTGATCAATAAGATAGGACAGCTTTACATAAGCATACGTACTCGAATTATCGTTCATCCGAACGTGAACATGAAATTCCACGTGCCAGCAAGTAGACAGATTTTACGTGTCCTACTTCGTACATTAAGCTTTCTTGATGGTAATTCACATGCTCTTCCCGCAACCCAGACTCCCTAGCCCATATGCCCCGCTAATCAAGCGACCGGTTTCTTTCCTTTTCCTTTACCAATGTAGACGTTATATAGCTGCGGCTGTACACGAGCGCTTGTCTTTCTTACGTCTCGCCATCAAGGCCTGACTGACCATAGATCCCGCGACCAGCCCATTTCCCGCAATTTTTTACTGCTTGAACCGGCTGCTTTCTTCTCACCTGCAGCTATTGCAAGCGCCTTGCTGCAGGCTGCAAAAGCCTCCACCAACTCCTTCATTCTATTGGCCTTGATGAGGCATGGAGCAAGGTCTGATTCCTTCTCAGCAATGGTAGCCGCAAGTTCCATACACTCCAAGAAGTTGTCCCTGGTCAAGGTTGTGCCAGCAAAGTGCAGTGTGCTAACGTAGGCAAGAAGAGTCTCAGGCAAATACAGGTCCCGTAGAAGCTCCAAGTCTGGGTCGTCTGAAAACCAAATAAGCTTACGTGGCCAGCAAGGAAGGTAGGCTTTGTCAACTTACCCTGGCCCAAAAGCCAGTTCTTCAGCAGTGGCTGCACGTGATCCTTTGCGGATTTGACTTCGTTGCTCACCTTGGCCCAGAAATCTCTCTTTACAGACGGGTCCCTGGGAATTGTGAGTGATGCGTGACAATACGTGGGCAGGAAACCATACTCTTTAGAAAGCTCCGCAAGCGATGCGATAGTCTCCATCGTGTCCAAAGCCTTGACAAGACATTCAAGGTCGCGCAAAGTTCGTGCGTTTGAGGCAAGCTGGCCCGCCGACAATCGGGCTGCATCCGCCGGTCCGATATGGCTAGTCCAGAACTCTATATCCTCGGACAAGGCATCGATCTCATCGTGGTCGGAGGTATCGATCTTCTGTCGCATGATGACACTGAATGGCACGCGGTTCGCGAAGCTCCTTGCGGCATTTAGACGCATATGTTCTGGTCTGGTTAGTCAATCTAATGCATTGATCAAGGCTCGAAACACGTACTGAGGAAATACTTGTAGACCGACACGCCGACCACGAAGACGTCCGGCCAGGCTTCCTCAACAAGCAAGAGCCATTCAACGGAGCGAATGAGGCGATCGTCGGATGGGTCAATAGACTCCGGATCTTCCCCAAAAAAGTCCGCTTTGATAGAGCGTCCATATTTCAGAGATGCCGGTTCGTTCTCCATGATCCGAAATTGACCCTTGTCCAGATTACCATCCGAGGTCTCGTCCTCCAAGTTCTTGAATAAGAGTTCTGGCTGCATTCTGACAAACTTGAGTACATCTAGCCCCGCTTTCCGGATCAGACTGAGCTGGACGAGACGAGAATCGTGGTCAGTGATTGGCAATATGTTCGTGCTCAAGACGTGGAATGACCTGGGTTCAGCAATCCTGGAGCAGTAGAGAGGGATCAGCTCGTCGAAACCCGCTAATCGCAGCAAGCTGACATAAGCTGTGATCGTATTTTCCTGCAGCTCGCGGCGGTCATGGTCGGCGCTGAATGTGGCGGAAGTCGACGGTGTTCCTAGGGAGTCTAATGTCGACAAAATGATGAGGGCATGCACAGCCAGCCGCAGGCGATCGGGGGTACGGATATCGGCAAACTTCTCCTGAGCCACACGGATGTTGCGACAGTTGTCATCGGGCATCAGAACCGATGGCTCTTCCGAATTGGCCTTTTGGGTGACAGCAATGCCTTGCTCGTAGAAATACTGCTCGAGGTCTCTCGAGATGATGGCAGCTTGAAGAGCCTTGGCCGGCTCGAAGGCTTCTTTGCTCGTATGAGGGCTGGTTTCCAAGGATTTTACCAGACGTTGTTCCAGCGTCGTTGCGTCGCCGTGAAACTGAATGGCGTCGAACGCGGCGAACGACGAACGAAGGGAAGCTGATACTTCCGGCGGACAACGACTCAGTACGAAAGTATCAAACTGGGTGCGGAGGAGGGCGTTATAGTGCATGAACAGGAAGTCGTCCCACGTTTGGCATACTTTCTGTACGCTGGGGATGTCTCCTGATAGCACTCCGTAGACGGCTCTCTCGATGTCATCAGAACCACCTTGACGAGCAAGAGCAAAGCACATGCGTCTCCAGAGGGCGAGAGCGGATGGGTCATCCACGAACTTTGACTCGCCGTGCTCAGTCGCAAGAGGCAGCGGGGACATTGAAACTGCCCTCCAAACCTCGGTTCTCTCCAAACACCATTCTCTCATGGCTTGAAGACTGCTGCCCCTCCGAAGCAGCTGGAAGCAGCCAACCCATATCGCTCTCTCGAAAAATTCGTCCTGCGGCTCCAGCTTTCGTTCCTGTCTCGTCACGGCATCAGGATCAAGCTCGGCGACGAGTGGAGCGTTGTCAGAGTTGAGCAGTATGCGCGCAACTTCGGGAAACTCAACGTCCAGGGGACGGGTAGATCCCCTGACGCCCTTTTGCAATTTGATCGCAGATCTCGTGTGAATCCATCCATGGGCAATAATGTCGCCTCTGTCAGCATTCTGCTGCAGCTCCCGAACCAGGTCATCAATGTCAGGCCCGTTTCTTGCGCCTTGTTGCAGCCATTCCAACACGGTTTTCCTCTCGATCGCCAGTGGGTCGTCGAACAAGAATTCGCTCCACAGATCATCGGTTTGCTGAGTCCTCTGCATGATACCAAATGCCTGCTTGCTGTTCGAGCTATTCGAGGGATATCTCAAAGGTATCAGACGACGAAGGAGATCCCAGGTTTGCCTCTCTTGCTCCCAAGCCCGGATATCCTCTAAGCTTGGCGTCGGTTCGGATTCTTCATCCTCGTCGAGATCCATCTCGGTGTCGCCAACCGAGCCTTGACGCGCCTGGTTGCGCAGGTGCGCCAACTTCTCACCCGTGAAGTCATAGTAGGCATTTACAAGCCCGAATATCCGCTCGCGCTTGGCCTCGACTGATCCATGAGGTGAAAGACAATCATCGAGCGCATTTGCGAAGACCTCAAACTCGGGTCCGATCTGCATATCCATGGTCGAATGGTAAAACGTGATGAACTCGTGGTATTTCCGCAAACTCAACGTAGGTTTGACTCGTAGAAACTCGTCGTAAAATTTATGTGGACGGTTCTTCGCGTGGTGGGCGGCACATTGGATGATCGGCTTCCGCTGCAATCCTGTAATATTAAATAATTAGCTACAGAACAAGATTGAGAGAGGGAGTTGAAAATCAAAGCTGGAGATTCAACCCAGCGCGCGCAGAGTCACAGCTACACACCCCTTGCGAGTAGATACTGCCTTTCGGTATCGCTTAGTACAGGCCAAGATGTCGGGTCGGCGCAGCTGAATGTTTGGGTTTGACCGAGCTCCCAAAGCTGGAAAATTTGGCGAAAGCAATCGGTCTTCTTCACTCCGCTCAAGCGCAAATTGTGCTCCTGTAGCCTACCCCCAAAAACTAGGTGTCAGTCTTTAGAGAACTCGGTAGCTCTTCCCGTTGCTGAAAATTGGCGTGGTGAGACGCTGGACCATTTGGAATATCGTGGCTGAGCAAACGCGGACTTGTAGACCTCTAAAAACAACCAGTAGGTATGGACTTGCCTTCGGTAGGCGACAGGGACGGTTGGCTAGCGCGATGGGTTGAGAATGGATTCTGCGCTGGTCTGTGCACGACGTGGTCGCGCTTGTGAAGGCACTGAACGCTACTTGAGAGGCAGACGTTGCATGCCTTACTTTAGAGGCAATACTCCCAAGATACCTTGGGAGCGGTCAGTGTCAACACAGTGCAGGGAGCCTTCGAGCATGCTTTGCATCATGACCGGACGCCAGGGGACGCACTGTACGGACCCGCTCAGCACACCTTTATTTGAATTTCTAACTTCGGGTTTCCGAAACATTTTTTCTCTCTTTTTCATCAATGTCAAGGCCTTCATATTAGAGTCTCGGAGCAAGTACTCAATGCTTGTTCAGGTCCTACGGGTCCTCTTGCGTGCTAATGAACGCCTAGATCAAATTGCCATCTTTCGTAATGTTGCCAGAATTCACCTTTAACTCGGGTTGACGCATAGAAGGAAGAGCGGCACATCCTCCCCCCCTCCCCCTTTCACCCTGACTGTTGATCAATGCCGCACCTCTCAATCTCGTCACGCTTCAATGAGCTTCGCGCTCAATGCTTCGGTTGTGACGTCTCCCGGAGTCTTGCTAACTTCAACTGCAGCAAGTGCGGCTTCGGACAACTAGCTGAAATCGCGCCTTCGCCTTTGGAGCGGTAAAACGCCTCGCAGCATTCATATAAGGCCGTAATGACCGGTTGGCACTTGTCTTCATTGTATCCATTCTTGGCCAAACAGTCTGTCTCCCAAGCACGGATCAGTCTCATCGTACCATGCCACAGCGTGAGCGGCTCAATCAACTGGGGCTAGGTCTGACCTTGTATTGCGCACTTCACCATCAAGAGCACGTTGTCAGTCATATGCCACGTGTGTGCCGGCCAATGCGGATAATCAAAGTGACTCACAGCTCGAGGATGACATGGAGGGTTTGCCTTTAAGTCCTCTTTCAAGCCCTGCTACGAACGGTCAGTCAGTAGGGAAAATGTGAGGATCTGGAAGTCCGCTGACCATTATGGCGGTCTCCTCTGACGAGCGACACGAATTTGCGCGTACAGTGGAATAGCCGAGGCCTTGAAAATCTTGTAGACAGTTTGATAAGACGATTTGTGCGCCGACGAGATCGATTTGGTCCTATGGAAGTCAGGAACCTGACGTCAAGAAGACATATTCGGCCGCGGCCTCGGTGTCGATCTGCTTGCTTACTAAGGAAATGATGAACCAACATGAGCCGCAACTTCCTGATTTCCTACCGGCACCCTCAACCCTGCCTCCAAATTTCCAGGTTTTTCCAGCCTATGTTGAGCTCAGGAATACTTAATTCCCAGAAAGCAGTGCTTACGTACCTAAGTATCTGTCTTGTCTGCTTTGGTAGCAGATTAAGACCCCACCCCACTTAACTGATCACCCCCTATAACCGATTAGCCGAAAACAGGCAATTTCAGGCTCACAACTTCGAACGTTAATATCTTCTGATTTATTATAACTACTATAAAAAGCCTTTAAAACGAAATTCAAAACACTAACTAGTAAATTAAGCTATTTAGTCTTCTTCTAATATTAAGTAATTAATATATAGTATTACTAAACGTACTACTTCATACTTTATAGCTTCTATAGCTTTCTACTTAGCTTCTATAATTTATAGTATTATTATAAACCTCTTATTAAGTTTTAGCTTAACTTTAGTATACTATAATAGCTTATATTAATTAATAAATACTTAAAGATAAGCTACCTCTTATTATAATATTAAGATCTTTATATTATTATTATTAATTATTTTATTAGCCTTAGTGAAAACTAATATATATATTATATAATCCTACTCCTCTCTATATTAATAGCCCTCTTATATTAACTTATACCTTTAGAGGTTTACTAACTTAATAGAAGTAATAATAATAAACTATAATAATATTTTAAGTACTTTAAATAACTAAGGATTTTATAGAAGTACTTTAAGTATATTTATAAATACTAAGATTATTAAGAATAAGCTTATTAATAGCTAAGTAATATTAATAAGCTATAACTTAGTAGCTAGCTACCTAGTATAGATATTTCTAGTTATAAATATATTATTATAAACCTAAAAGTAGTAATATAGAAAATTCTATTTCTTAATAAGTATAAAATTAAATAAGAGTTTATAATTATATATAGCTCTATAGAAAGCTTTCTTAAAAAGTAAGAAGATTAATATATTAAGTAGCTAGGTAATATAAGAGCTATAAATAGGTAGATAAACTAAATAAATCTACTTATAGTAATATAACTATATAAAGTTATTAGATATATAACTCCTATAGCTATTAATAACTAATAACTACTCAGATTATAGATACTTAACCTCTACTACTATATATAAGATAAAAACCTTCTTTAGTTACTTAAGACTTATAGTATTAAATATCTACTTATTAATTAATATAATAAATTACTAAGAAGTAAAATTAAATATCTCTAAAAGGAATTATTACTACTAAACGTTCTAACTAATAAAGATTATTAGTAATAGCGTAGTTTAGCTAATAGCTAAAATATACTTAAGTATAGTTATCTATATATAGTTTTTTAAGGCTTAAATATATATAGTTTATCTCTAAGGTTTATTTAATACTAAATAGTCTCTATTTAATCCCTCTATTAAACTAATCTTATCTATATTCTAATATAAGGATAGAGAGATATCTTTTACTTCTAATAGATTAAATATCTTAAATAGATCTTTAATTATAATAGTATTAATATCCTTTATACATTTAAAGTTAATAGCTCTTATTTTTAGTATCTTAATAATAAAGTTTTAATATAAGAAGCTTTTTATTTACTTCTTATTAAAGGAGTATATATTACTACTAATATAAATAATATAACTTACTAGCTTATTAACTTATTTATAAATAGGAGTAATACTAAGAGAGCTTTATATAATAACCTATAATACTAGAGATACTTCCTAAGTAAGTATAAAGTATTAGTATAAAGCTTTAGCCTCTTTATATATTCCCCTACTTCTAAAATAGCTATAAAGTATTATATATAGGATACTTTAGTTATAAGAGGTTTATTAGATACCTATACTACCTAATATAGCTTCCTTAGTACTTTTAATATACTCCTTAGTATAACTTAATATACTAAATTAACTAGTATTTTTAAAAGAATTAATTTATAGTGTTATAGTGTAGTTAACGCGGTGGGCGTAAAAGACGTAGTAGTGTTATTGTTAGCAAACGCGTCGTTTTCGGCTAATCGGTTATGGGGGGTGATCGGTTAAGTGGGGTGGGGTCTTAAGGCGTGTGCCTACCTTTCCTCCAAGGCTCCAGCACCACGCCGGGGAACACAAGCGCGGGGGAGCCTCACAAAACCTTGCCGGCAGCCTGTCCAATCAAGAGGCCTGCGTCCCACCTCCTTCTCCCAAGGTGCCTGCCTGCCTGCCTGCCTACCTGCCACTTACGCAGTACCTAAGGTAGGTGCCGCAGGTATTTTACCCTTCCGTTGCCTGTATACCTTACCTTGAGGTACCTACCTATCTTACTTAGCACAGTCCGTCTCCACATCCCTCTTTCTCGCTCGGCGATAGCTCAGACGTGCTTGCCTTCTTCAACGTGCTTCGCGTCAACGTTTCCTACCACCTCCGTACGACACAAGCGCCGGCCTTCCACACTGTGGTAAACACACTTCACAGGCCTCGACAGTGAGCTCTCGACATACGCAATTGTCTCATCCGCGTCTTTCGCAAGCGTATGTGCAAAATCCGCGATTATTCACGACATCCCCCAGATCCTCAGACCCAGCTGGCTAACTTCTGCGCGACTACGCTTGACAGACACACCATGTCTGGCGAACACGAGAACGGCTCCCCCGCCGCTGGCGGTCAAGATGCACCCCCCGCCGTCGAGCACCTGAACATCAAGGTCACAGACAACAACAACGAAGTCTTCTTCAAGATCAAGCGGTCGACCAAGCTGGAGAAGCTGATGACTGCTTTTTGCGAGAGGCAGGGCAAGGCGATCAGCTCTGTTCGTTTCTTGTTTGAGGGCCAGCGAGTGCAACCCACGGACACTCCGGACACGGTAAGTGCTGAGCAGCACAATCAGAAACACTGCGAGTTGAGCGAGGCATCGATGCTGACCAAGCTGGCCAACAGCTTGAGATGGCAGATGGCGATACTCTTGAAGTTCACCAGGAACAGGTCGGTGGATCCAACTAGATGGTGGATCGCGAGGAGTAACGGCGTATCTATTGGTGGAGTGCAACGGGTTTCCTTTGCGAAGCGGCTGGGGACTCTCAATAGTGGGCAAGGAGTTCAGCAGAAGGATGGTCTGGCTCGCACGTACACAGAGTCCATATCAAGACAGTCCATGATGATTATGACATTCACGCAAACGTTCATTCCATCCTCGTGTTTATCGATGCTTACAAAACGCCTCGCCCAAAGTCATGCATGCCTAAAACGAACAAAAAACACGGTGCCGAATCTTTACTCCATCGCTACCCCTACCGTTAAATCCTCAACTCCCAAAGTCCATGTCGAAAAAGTCCCGTCGTGATTCATTACGCCTTGAGTTCCATCATGCGACATCGCGTGCAAAGCACAATCGTCTTTTCTCCGTCGTCCTTCGGAAAGATTTGGCCATCATCAAAGCCTCCATTGCACGCAGCGCAGCGGAAGCATTCGTCATGCCACTCACCCCCTAGGGCCCTGATGTATTGCCCGATGACGGCGCATCTGCACTTCTTGCACTTGGGTGCCCTTCGTTCTGTTCGCTTGGTCTGGCAGTTGATGCACCAAGCGTATCCGTCCTTCTCAATATGTGTCATGCCTTTTTCGAAGGGGTCCCCGCACTCGGCACAGAAGAAATGGCCGTAGTGCCAATGTTCACCGAGTGCGACCACGTGCTCGCCGAGGATAGGCGTTTTGCAGTGCTTGCATCTTGGAGCAAAAAGCTCATGCCAATCCAGATGGCAATAGAATCGCAGTCGTTCATCGCCGTCTTCGGCCACAGTTTCGCCCGGTGCCTCGTCCAACACCTCGCCGTTCTCCCGGCGCCTGATCCTGTCCAACCGGTTCTGACGATGTGCCTCTGGCTCGGGGCTGATCTCTAGAGCTTCGAGACCAGTACCGCAGGCAAAACAGCTGAAACATTGGGGATGAAAGCGTTCTGTCAGCCCAGCCAGGGAGACGAACCTACCCTCGATAGGAAATCCACACTCGTGGCATAGAGTAGTCGAGCGATGCCCAGTGCCGGGTGCTGGTGACCAGTGACGTTGTGGGCGTTGAAAAGGTCGTCCTCTACCTGGGACGGCTTTGGGGTCGGGCAGGGGCCGTGGTGCTCCTGCTGCGTTGTCGTCGTCGGGAGTCACAATAACAGGTATACTTGTGTTCGTTGCAGCCGGCTCGTCAACGCCGGCGATACTTATTGACGGCATGGCCGGGACCCGGCGTGTCCCGTCCGTCGAGAAATCCTCCGGCGCCACCACGATAGAAGGAATTTCCACCGGCTGGTCCTTTTGGCTGGAAGCTCCTGTGTCGGAGGTGCCGAAAGCCGATCCTGGCCTTGCATCAGTTTTCTCGTCCGGAGCTTTCCAGTTCGAGTCGAAGCTTACAATCGGCCGTCCAGGTCGATCACTGACGGCCGTGGGCGTTGGCAGCTTCGCGCTGCGATCTTTCAGCTTCATACTTGTAGCTCCCCTGATATCGTCGCCGCGGATCTCCATCCCGTTCTTCTTCGGCACGGTTCCATCCGCTGCAGGCTTTGGGAAGGACGTGTTCGTCGTGTACTGTGGGTTCCGCGATTGGGAAGGCGGGTTGCGGTGGATCTCAACTTTGCACCTGGGCTTCCACGGCGCCACACGGTCAGCTGGCGGCCCAGCCGCGAAGCGCACCTGGCTTTGAGGGTTCTTTGGCTTGTCAACGAGAGGAAGATCCGGCACAGCCTCCGATTTGGGCTTGGGTGCTCCTCGGCGGTTGTTGACTTCAGGCTCCTCCCAGATCTGATCCCCTGAGAAGGGCTTTTCTACCTCGCCGCTGATGTTGCGTTTCATGCTGCTGCGGCGGCGGCTGACGGACGCAACCCCAGAGTTGGAATACATGGCACCAGATGGACCAGATATTTCACAGTCCAAGGAGGGGCGTTCCGGGCTTTTCTCCTCTCTTCCAAAGCTATCACGCGACAGTGACAAAGAAGGACGTCCGTCGCTTTCAGTGGAACTGCCTGAAAACGACCGTGTAGTGTCTCTAGCCAGCCCAGAAGGCCCAATCTCATTGCCGTATTTTCCCACACTAGCAGTGCGCGCGTGGGCATAGCTGTTCTTCCTCAGGTGAGGCTTGTATCGATATGGTGCATTGGGATCGGGAGGGGCAACCCCATTCCGATGCTGCCAGACCAATTCTGAGGCCTCGTCAAGAGCAGCATTATAGATTCTCGTATCATCGTCCTGGGTACTAGTGGCATCACCTTGGACATTGGAAACGCAGGCTCCGTCGTCATTGTCGTCCTTGATGCGCATATCGTCCATAGCCTGACGAAGGGATACTGCTTCTTCCTTTTCCATCCATCTTTGCCCCCTTTCCATATACGTGTCGGTGGGTACAACCTCGGAAGGCTTCAAAGGTGTCGCAGAACGGGGAGGGTAGTAATCGCGGCCGGAGATGCTGGACATGGAGTAGCGGGAAGAAAAGCTGGCATTGGCCGGGGGAGGGCTTGGTCGGGCGGAGATGTCGACAGAGCTGGGGATCGACACAGCAGGACTTCCAGAACGGGAAAGAGGTTCAGAGGTGTTCGGCTGGTCGTGAGAGGGACGTTTGGACCTGGCTGTCGACGATGGAGGCTGTGGTCTCGCGCCACCAGGGCGAGCGACACGGTTCGTTCTGAGATTGGCGAGGTATGCAGCTAGAAAGTCGGGACGTTAGCAATAGATGGGAAGTGGAATTCTACTGCGTAGAATTGTTCCTCACCGAACTGCTCGTTGTTCATGTACGTTGGAGACGGAGGCGTCACTTTCCTCGTCCTCTCCGCACTTCTCCGTCGGTGCATGATGGAATTGATGTACGGCGGGCACCGAAATTGCTCACACACAGAGACAGATGTTGAGCCGGCGGGCAGATTGTGAGTGCGGAGATGGAAAAAGGTGTCCAGTGACAGTGCGGGGGAGGGCACGCAATGAAAAGGGTTTGGTGTTGCTGCAAGACTTTTCTATGAAGGTAGAGATGCTGGCTAAAGCTGTGAGGCATAGGCTTAGGCATACGAAGGGAAACCGGTGGCGTCCTTGCCTTTCCCAGCGTGAAACTGAGGTGTTGAAGATATATCTAGGCCATGTGGTCAGCGCTGGTTGGTTGTCCCGGCAACAAGGACTCCCGAGTTTGTGGGTTCATGGACCATACCTACCTACCACGCAGTAAACGCTCTTGACCTTGGAGTTGTCTGTCTTAGGTAAGGTGAGGGAGGGGTTCTTCACCGTGCTTCTTTGAAAAAGCCGACCGCCCTTTCCTTCGATTCCGGGGCCCAGGCCTGGTACTTGTACAATGTCACCTTCCCTCAGCACGCGGGGAACAGCAAGGTTCCACGGTTCTTGGACTTGAAAGCACTGGGTAAAGGTAGGTGTACATTGACGTCCGTATGCGTACTGCGTACTGCGTAGTAGCTTGAAGATAGAATATGCGGTCAAATACGCAGTAGTGCCCTATGGAATTGAGTGGCTGGAACATTCCCTGTGCTCCTGTCCAATGATGCCATGCAATGGTGGCGGTTCAAGCCCGTCGTCCCGCCAGGTTCCTGCAGGAAGTGTGTTTACCAGCGTCACACGTCTGACACGACAACCAGACAGTCTTGGTTTGCTGGCAACAATGCAAGGGCTGCTTACAGGTCTACAGCTTTGCGAAGCTGTTTTTGTCCTAGGGCGACAGGTCGAGGTGACTCATTCGAGAAGTAAACACGCGGAGGGGGGAAAAAACAATGATGCATGAGGCTTCAGGTTCCTTGTGGATTCCCGCATGAACACCACCCTTTCCAATAATCTTCGCCCATGATTATACCAAGCAAGCTTCCTGGGTCTGCGTGCGCAACGTTCCACCATAACTGCGCAGGTTGATTTGGGCTTTAGGATTTATTTTATGCCGTCGCTAATACTACAAAGTATGGAGCTGTATTGCTGCGTCGAATGCTTATGTCCAACTACCCAACGAAGATTGCAATCAGCGAAAGACAGCTTGTCACCACCTTAGCTCGCCGGGGCGCGCATCTCCATCTTTATCTTGGCTATCTTTTCCTGACGCTTGTTTCCGCGCCAGGCCGCCCTTGCTGTCCGGCATTTGATCGTTGCCGAAGCCTAGGTTCTTGAAGTCGTCTTTGGCCATAAGATTCCTGCGGAGCCACCGACACAGTCAACATGGTTGTTTACGACCTTATGGACATGACAAATCCATGTCGATATCTTACCTATCCATACGACAAGCCAGATAAGACTTGGCAAGATCGCGACACTGAGCGTCATTGACGCCGCGGACTTTCTTGATGCACTCTAGGTAGTTTGAAATGACATGCTTGCATTCACCTGATGGGCGTCAGGATAGTACCGCATAGCAACGTATGAGTTCCGGCTAGAGAGCACTGTGATTGACCGCGACACAGTCTGACTTGACTTACCATCGTGGTCCAGAGGGAAACTGCCACGCTGAGGACTGTGAACAACATCCACGGTCAGTTAAGTGAGTTACCAACTGAAAGCAAAAGGAACCAGAACGCAGATGTCTGCACGCACGGGATTGGTTTGGCATTTGCCTGGCGGGCCCCAGGGCCACCGAGTTGACTCATGGTCTCTGCTTCCTTCTGGTGTTCCTTCTTTTTTGGGCACCGAGTTGTTGGTTATCGCTGTTTTGCTTGCCGAGGTTGTGAAGATGTTGGAAGATCTTTGGACTGGAGCCGTTTTAAGCCTGACTTGACAGACGCAAAAACGCGCCACGCCACCTGCTTACACGAAACAACTGGGAGCACTAGGTCTGCACAAAAGATACACTGGACATCATGTAAGGCGATTTGTTGGGTTGAATCCTTTACAAAGCAATGACATCGTAGGCACATGGAACCTCAGATCGATCGGCTTCCTTCCATTCCATCCTCCATTGTGTGCTTCGGTCGGGAATATCTGCATTGCCGACGCTGCGACCTAGGGGTGGCCCCGGGTTTGCAGGTCCTGGAGGCGTCCGATCAAGAACTCAGATCCCTTAGAGGATAAAGCTGAGCTAAGCACCGAGTAAATGTATGGATACCTCAGGAACCATAGGGAGCAAAGGCACTAGGCACCTGAGGCTCATCGCTTGCGCATCCAGTGAAAATGCTGTCATTCTTCACCCTCAACGTGAGCTACCTGAACAGAGCAGGGTACGTACCGTGGACTGGGCAGTCTGTGTAGTGGGCGTGGACCTCTGCAACCCCTAAGCCCCCAAGGTATCCATAGCCAGCAAACACCAGCATTACGGCCCTTGCACCAACTTTCTCTGAGAAGGCGGCCTGTGGACCGCGCATGAATTCTTGAAATTGGACGACGCGAGCAACATCGGCTCTATCATATCGAACGAGTCCTCCCCGATTCATCCAGTCCCAAGGGTTACCGTGCTGCTCCCTGAGCTTCCTTTTCTTTTTTCTTCTTCTTCGCTCTCTGTTTCTGGGATCCATCGACAGTCGGAGGCAATCGACGCATTCAGTCTTCGACCAGAAGACGCTTGCTCCCTTCGTCTGCGTTGCGTTGCGTTGCGTTGCGTTGTGTGTTTTGGTGCGGTGCGGTGCGGTGCGGTGCTCTGGTTTCTCTGCCTCGCCCAGCTCCTTCGCTGCTCCGTCTTGCTCTGCAACCCCTTCGGTCTTGCATAGGGTAGCTTCGACCTCGTCCGCCAGAAGCTGTGTATACTGCAATTTTGAACGGAAAACCCCCAAAGGCACATTGACGATTTCGCCTCGCTTCGACCCAAGTGAATTTCACCCACAACTTTTGGTCCAGCACCATGGCGTCCCTCGGAGACGACCTCCTCACGACCGTCAACAAGTTGCAAGACTTGGTGTTCAATACTATCGGGAGCGACTCGCTCGATCTGCCACAAATTGTACGTCATTCTGTATTCGAACCCACTTACGAAAAGACCTCTCACTTACGTGCCTTCTCCTCAAATAGGTTGTTGTAGGCTCTCAGTCCGCTGGGAAATCATCCGTACTGGAGAACATCGTCGGCCGTGATTTCTTGCCGCGCGGAAGTGGCATCGTCACCAGACGACCCTTGATCTTGCAACTGATCAATGTTCCCGAAGACGAAAACGCCGCAGATCCTCTGCAAGACCCGTACCGGTCCCCCGATGTTGCCCGGCGATCCGAATGGGCCGAATTCCATCATATTCCCAACCGCCGTTTCACTGATTTCTCCGACGTGAAGCGCGAGATCGAGAACGAAACGTCCCGTGTGGCTGGCAATAATAAGGGCATCAACCGGCAGCCTATCAATCTCAAGATTTACTCTCCGCATGTCCTCAACTTGACGCTCGTCGACCTACCAGGACTCACAAAGGTACTACCTACTTCTTCCTAAAGCATACCCGGTCTGCATCGTCGTTCTGACGTTATTCGACAGGTTCCCATCGGTGATCAACCCACGGACATCGAGAAGCAGACGCGCAATCTCATCTCAGAATACATTGCCAAGCCGAACAGTATCATTCTCGCCGTCTCCCCCGCGAACGTTGATATCGTGAACTCGGAAGCTCTGAAGCTTGCTCGGCATGTTGATCCTCTGGGAAGGAGGACCATCGGTGTACTCACCAAGGTTGACCTGATGGACCATGGCACAAATGCGTTGGATATCTTGTCCGGCAGAGTCTATCCCCTAAAATTGGGCTTTATCGGTGTTGTGAACCGTTCGCAGCAAGACATCCAGGGGAACAAACCTATGGAAGAGGCTCTCAAGGCTGAGTCGGACTTTTTCCGCCATCACCCGGCGTACCGCAACATTGCCAGTCGCTGCGGAACTCACTATCTGGCTAAAACGTTGAACACCACTCTCATGGCTCATATTCGCGAGCGCATGCCTGACATCAAAGCGCGACTCAACACCCTGATGGGTCAGACGCAACAGGAATTAGCGAGCTATGGTGACATGCATTTCAGCGGCAAAGAGCACCGCGGGTCCCTCATTCTGCAACAGATGACACGATTCGCCACGTCATTCATCTCATCTATTGACGGTACCTCGACCGAAATTTCCACCAAGGAGCTGTGTGGTGGCGCCCGCATTTACTATATCTTCAATTCGGTTTTTGGCATGTCTCTCGAGTCTATCGACCCAACGTCAAACCTCTCCGCTTTGGATATCCGCACGGCTATCCGCAACTCCACCGGCCCTCGTCCCAGCTTGTTTGTGCCGGAAATGGCATTTGACCTTCTGGTGAAGCCACAAATCAAGCTTCTTGAAATTCCCAGCCAGAGATGTGTCGAGCTCGTCTACGAGGAGCTGATCAAGATATGCCACACGTGCGGTTCAACTGAGCTTTCTCGCTTTCCTCGGTTGCAAGCAAAGCTGATCGAGGTTGTTTCCGATCTGCTGCGCGAGCGCCTGGGGCCTACATCATCATATGTAGAATCCCTGATTTCGATCCAACGCGCTTACATCAACACGAACCATCCCAACTTTCTGGGAGCCGCCGCAGCTATGAGTAACGTTGTCAGCAACAAGCAGGAGAGAGAACGAAAACGCCTCATCCAGGAGGAGAGAGAACGGCGGGAGAAGAGGAGGTTGAAGGAGCTTGGCAGCAACGGTGTTGAGGCACCAGACGACGAGGAGGCCAACGCCGCTGCCCCCGAGAAGGCCGACCCGGCATCTCTCCGGAAGCAGGCCAGCAAAGGAGCACGCAGTCTATCCCCAGGTGTACGGGAGAATGGCGCTACTGGGCTGAATGCGGCATTGAATGGAGCAAGATCGGGATCTCCCTCCAGATTTAACGGACAAGGCCTTGGCGGTGCTCGCGACTCGTTCCTGACCTACTTCTTTGGCAAAGACGGTGCTTCGCCTATTGGGACACCCCAGGGCATGTCCCCCACGCCCAACTCCTCCATCGCCCGCCATGTAAGCCAGACTTCTGAGCCCACATTCTCACAAAGCATCCGCCGGACCGAAGAAAAGGTGGCTTTGCGGGCCCCTACCCAGCCCCCGGTTCGGGAAGACGAGCTGGATTTCCCCAACTCGAACCGATCTGTAGACTTTGGAGCGCCATTCGTAAGTTGTCTTGGCAACACATCAAGCCCCTTAATGTATTCCGTATACTTACATCCACTCCAGGGCGCGACAGGTGGCGAACCAGCCATGACGGAGAGGGAGGCCATGGAGACGGAGCTTATCCGAGCACTCATTTCCTCGTACTTCAACATCGTGCGCGAGTCGATCGCTGATCAAGTCCCGAAGGCTGTCATGCACCTGCTGGTGAACCACTGCAAGGACGTTGTCCAAAACCGACTTGTCAGCGAACTTTACAAGGAGGTCCTTTTCGAGGAGCTGTTGTACGAAGACGACGGTGTCAAGAAGGAGCGTGAGAAGTGTGAGAAGCTGCTCCAGACATACAGGGAGGCAGCGAAGATCATTGGCGAAGTGTTATAGATATGTGTTGGAACAGAAACAGATGCTGGCGAATCATGCGCCTCTTGTCTACACTAGTCCTGTCAACTCTTCTTATTTCAGTATCCGCGAAGTGGGCATGGTGAGGACCTAGGTCAGGTCCCTGGCGTTTCTACGGACACGGTCAGAAATGCTGTGAGGATCGACACTATTGCACATGGTTGGGTCATCTGTCCCACAGCGTTGCTCACGCTGTGTGCCTCTGCTGTGCCTGGAAAGCAAATACATGTAATACAAGGCCCTCAGCTTTAAATATCTCAGTTCAGTGCACCTTGTACGTGGTCCTTCGCTCGAAATATGTATGTGGATTTCTAGACTCACTTAGATATGCGTCTACACAGGCAGGGCCCTAGCGACCAGCAAAGCAGCAGTCTATCTATTGATTAGGCCTCTAAACAAGCGAAACCCCGATCAATGCCTTGTGTACCCCAACAATCAGCTTTTGCTCAGTGTCCGACATGGCGACCGCCACCACGGTGAGAAACGTGAGCTGGGTTCCTGGGATCGTATTCTTCGTAATGAGAGATACACTGTGGTGCTTGCCTTGGGGGTGCCCGAGATCGTCGCATTTGAATTAGTGACGGTTGCACAGTCGGCGCGACCTCTTGGGGCGACGTGCTGTCTGATCTGCGTGGAGCCGTCGAGTGTATTTCCCGGTCCCTGCCTGCTGAATAGTCTTCTCTATGCGATGCATACCTGGCCGGTCGCCTGATCACATATTCTCCCTCTGCATCCCTCACATGGACTATTTCGTATGCTTCTTTGTACGAGATTTCGTGGGGCGCTGGCAGTGGTTCGCGGGTTTTAAAGCTTCCAGTACTCTGTCGGAGGCCAACATGGCCCGACAAGTCAGGCCCCGTTGGCGTTCGTCGTGGGCACGAAGCCCTGAAAGGATCATCGTGAAGTCGGTCCACAGGCAAATCATTTGATGCAGAGTGGTGGTGCTTTCCTCCAAGTGGGGCTGGATGGCGAGGAGGTGTCCTGCTTTCCATCACTTGATAGTGCTCGCTGTCCAGGACCAAGTCGATCTCGTGTGTTGGTCTTTCCCAGACCTCACCACGTACTCTGCTCAGTGGTTGATATGCCTGGTACCGCGCGGGCTCGTCGCGCTCTCGGGCTAGGTGTGACTCCAGAGCAGCAGTTAGATTGAAGCCATCAGGCTCGTTTGACTGCCGCGTGGTCGAACAGGCGGACCTTCCCTCCACAAGCGCCACCCCATCTGATTGGGTCAATGAGTCTTGCGGGAGGAAACCATAAGGCCTAAGTGACTCTGCCCGGTCGAACCTGGTGTAGAATCTTGAGTAGTCCTGCGAGCCGCGCCTCGGATATGAATCGGTATGCATCTCAGCCAGGTAAAGGCTGGAGTTACGAGACTGCCCACGAGAACTGCCGTCTCCCGACAAATTAGAATGCCGATCCAGATGTGACATACTCTGTTCAGGGTTCAACTTGTAGGCTGGGCCAAATTGCTGCATAGCGCTGATATCCCCGCGTGACTCAGCATGGGAGCTGCGAGATGCCGCCACTATCTCGTCGTCCTTGATTCGTTCCTTCCAGATCTGCGTATCGCGTTGCTGTCGAATATACCCGGGTTCTTCCCGGTCCGGCTCTCGCAACCCGTCACCAGATCCGTCAGCTCGGGGCCATGGGCGAATAGGTTCTCTTGTATGATCAAACACCCAGGGAACAGCTTCGTGTACTAAATTGAACTTATGACCGCCAGTTCCAAGAGTCGCCTTGAAAGCACCTAGCCCAGGCAGTTCTGGTAGCAACAGCATGTCTTGCGTCCAGTCCATATCCATTCGGTCCTGGGGTTCGGCATGTTGAAGGCCGAGATGGAGACTCTCGAAGTGATTGGTGAGCTGAGGCAGAGAGAAGGTCTTTCTCTCCATGAAGACGTGCGGAGCATTGCCCAAACCCAGTGTGCAAGCTCGGCACATTAAGCCATTCACGTTCCGGACGGGACGCATACCTTTGTGGTTCGAAAGACCGTCGTTGAACATTCGAAGACTTGGCGTTTCTGAGAAAGCCAATCGGAAGCGTTTCACTACGTGGTAAAATGTAACGCAGACCTTCAAAGGCCCTGGTATGTCCTTGATGCTGGAGAGCGTGTTCCAAACACCTCTTGCGTTACGCACAAGATTCTCGAGCTGAGCGTGATATGTCGGCTGATACAGGCTGCTTTGGGACACGTGGTATTGCGGCTGAGCACTGGGGTAAAAATCAGCTGCACTGTTGGCACTATACTGATTTGTGGCAAGGAAAGGCGGCGCCATCATAACTGGAGGGAACTCCGGCGGCGGGCCATGATCGAATAGCCCATGTCCTGGAGGCGCAGGTGGGTGCGATATTGATACACCTGCAACGAACGTTGGAGGGCCGTAAATGCCGGAATCGAGGACACCAACTCCGTGATATGACGGAGTTGGACCGTATGACACAGCTCGTTGTGGGGGAGGGCCTGCTTGCGCCGCAGCCCCAGCTGAGAAGGGGTATTGTATCGGAGCGGGATTGCCTCCGTTCGCAAACAATGCTTCGCGGCCTAGATGTGACGACGGACCAGAAGCTCCTTGTTGCGGGGGTCCATGCAATGGATTGTGGCGCGGTTTCTTCGACGTTCGAGGATGGGTTCTAAATGGCGACTCTGGTGGCCACTCTGCCCTCCAATGAACGACGACATTACCAAGACTCAGAGCTTTGGTATGCTTCGCCGCGTAGTGCTGTATGACACCCTCGAAGCCGTAATATCTATTACTGTCACAACCGTTGCACAAAAACAACTCCTTGCGGTGAGACTCGGTATGGACCTTGATTTTCACATCAAACACCCATTTCATGTTTTCGAGAGTCAGCTTTTGTGTGAAGGGTCCCTGTGGGGGGTCGGCCGGTGGTTGTTGGCCATTTGCAATAGCATCTGCGGCGTTCTTTGCCACGTCTGAGTAAAATCTGGTCCGCACAGAGACCAGGACATCAGCTGCAAATCGCGGGCTATTCTCCCTGTTGACTTTACGGCCCTTGGCCCAATTGCTCCGAATCGTCTCGTCGGCGTACTTGGCTATGCTCGCACGTACCGGGCCTTGGATGTCGTCCCAGTCCTTATCCGAAACTTCCACTGGTGCGGGCTCGGCTGCCTCAAAACCCGGCCTTTGAATGTTTGCAAGTTTCTTCTTATTTTCCTCCTGCTCAGCGTCAGCGCGCTGGGCAAGCAATCTCGGCTGGAGGAGACACCAAGCATCGTCATCGAGCGTTGCGGTGATCTGAATAGCTGCCTGAAATGAGGGAATGTGCACGAGAACGTTCGGCGGCAGTGGCGGATCAATCAACATAGCCCGCCGCTCAATCTCGATGCGTCGCAAGGCTTTTCGCGCGGCAGCCTCTTCTCGAGTCCTCTCTTGGCGACCTTGAGATACTGTCTGCGGTGCATTCGCTATCATGTTTGACCGGCTCGAGGTGACGGCAGGCACGGTAACTTCAAGCTCGTCGTGTAGAACTTGGATCTCGAAGGGCTGGTCCTCTGCGATGATCGTTGGTGCTGACGAAGCAGGCTGCCGCATATGCAACAAGCCTCCAGCGAGAGCCCATTTCTCCCATCGCGAGGCGTCTTGCCTAGCATATTTCCCTCGGGCTTCCAAACCCTTGAGCCATTCCTCGACTGCCGCTGCACCTAGACCTTGTGCCTGTTGAAGCTCGGCCTTAGCTGTCTCAATGTGCGGGGCCCAGAAGACTTTTGTCGTTTGTGGCATTTCTTCATTGGATTCGACCGACAGAGTGCTCGGCGAGACCACATGAAGCTCATTCGTAACAAATACAAAAGGAAGAGCAGGGATGAGTGACGAGGGCGTGGTTGATGAGAGCAACAGATCAATCTCCTAGAGACCGGTTAATTCAAGCCCAACAGGACGTATAGCATAGAACTCGCCTTGACGGAGTCTTTCAGGAGGCACTGGCCGCAGCAGACAGTGCCAAAAGCAAATACAGTCGCCAACCCATCAACCCCTGGCCCTTGCCGACAGGAAGTGATTTTGTCTTGCTTATGAGTTTCCTTGACCGTTGCGCACCGTTCACAGACTACGGAGCAACACAAGCGCCACATATCGAGCTCGGTCTTGTCTTGTAAGGGTGCCGGCATCCTGGGGCAGAAGAGCCTCCGAGACGATTGCCAGATGATGTCAGGCGTGACAGGTTTGCAACAACCTGTAACCGTCTCATGAATTCGCTGCTCGCTGACTGACGATCGCGGATCGAGACACATGTTGAATAACCTGCTCGTTTGTAATAAGTTGCCCAAATCTTTAGGATGCACTAAGGTGAAGATATGTTGCCAAACTGTGGATGGAAGGACGTAACCCTTCTGACATAATGGTTTTTCCCCAGAGCCACGTCTGGGTTTCTTGTAATTGACTTGACCGCCTTGATGATCTCCGATATCAAAGGAACTGTGAACAGACTTGCGTTTGTGCATCTGAGCCGAAGCATCCCGCAAGCCGGATTTCGGTTGCCCAGGAGCGCCGGTACCATCCGGCACCATGTCAATGAGAGCAGACGACTTCCCGAGGGTCGAATCGCGCTCGAGCAGCGTACTCCTCTCGTCTTCGGCAGAGACATCGAGCAATGGCGATGTCTTCAAACAGTGGCTTGTGCTGCAGCAGCTCTCAGACCATGGTAAGCTCATGGTTTCCCTTTTTTTGAGGATGAAATTGTGGGCCGAGCTAAAGACAAGCCAACAGAGATGAAATATGTTGCCAATAGGAAAACGGCAACAGTGATCGTGGGAAGATAGTAGAAGTTGAGGAGAAGAGTAGGGCCAGGGTTTAGGGGGAACATAGAGGTCAGAGCATGAACACTTGTCAAAGTCTTGATGTGTACCAAGTACAACAAGCACCGAGTCTCATAACTCGGATGGCACGCCTCTTCGTTCTAGCCGCTGTGCCTTGAGTATGGCTTTGGGCAGTGCTCGCTCAGTCCTTACAGCTAGCTGTAAGAATAGAGGCTACGGATGTAGAAGAGATAGACAGGTATCAGTCAATCACGTGTCGATCATGATCCGACACGCTGTTTGGCGAATGAAAGTGGCGGAGTTGCAGCTTCGACGCGCTCAAGGCCTCGTTCCGGGCACTGCCGGCAGAAGCTGTTGTACTGGAAGATCTCGGGCCAAAATCCAAATCGTGAGTATGACGAACGTGCCGCGTGAGGTCATTCCACCCTCTTCACTGTTTGACCGAACAGGCGTATCGAATCGTGTCCGATGAGGGGGCACGGCGAAGGAGTTGTCGCGAGGCTGAGATGATGATGCTATTGTTCTGGAATTTGCTTTTTCGGCACGCTTGTCCAACTGGTGCCTGGGGTGAGCAAGGCAAGGAAGGTCGAGCGGTCAGGCACCGCAGCGGTGTACCTGCCGAGGTACTTTACCTACCCAGTGAGGTGACAGGTTATACTGGGAAGTGGGGATGAAGAAGACACTGGCGGGTGTAGGTAGTTACCTAAGGCAGGCACTTGGGCGCTAATGTAAGGCGCCTGTGCGCAGCTCTCAAAGGAGGTAAGGTGCGAATACCGACGGGACTGTGGTCATTGGCACCTCAATTACAACTGTCATTCATTAGGTGACTGAGACTAGCCTTCCACGAAGCAGGTAATCAAGCTCGGATCCACGTCGTCTCTTACAGAGACTTTTCGCATATAATATCAAGCCTTTCGAGAAGGTCACTGAACATGAGTGCGTCACTAAACATGTGTGCGCATCGATTCACTATTATTAGGAATAACAATATTAATCATGGATGTCATTTATCACTTGCTATGGGGTTGCGCTATCCATCCAGCCAGCAATGTAGAACGGCAAGCTGGATACCGATTATTGGCGAACGTACCGGGTTAGGCGCTGCGCGATGTCGGTCTTCCACATAGTCAGTGATTTCCGGCAAGCAATCGTAACTGCTGGTATCGTCCGGCTGGCAAATCCTTGTAGACGGTTAGCTTTAGGCTTGCCGGGAGGTCCATTGTTCGAGCTTCTCATCTGTGTTCCCGCCATCCTCAGAGGCCTGGACGCAAAGCCTCCTACGTAGAGCCATGTCCTGACCTCGACGACGCCGATGATGTACCACGACGCTTGGCCCCAGCTGGTTCGTCTCTCCGACATCTTCTTTCTTGTTGCCCATCGTGGTCTGATTTGGTGCCGCCCTTGTCGCTATCCGGCAGACCAGAAGCACTGCTGCTGCGACGTTTTCGACGTCCTTGTGCGCGATTCTCAGCACGATTGCTGTATGACTGGCGTCTGGGGCTGCGACTTCGGGATCTCGATCTTCGCGATGACGCACTACTCGAGGATCTGCTCCGGGGTCTCCTGTCGAGTGCTGGTGATCTGCTTCTAGATGAGGAGTACCTGCGACGCTTGGTGACTGGTCGCCTGTTGGGTGAAGGTGAAGCGGTCGAACGGCTTCTGGAAGGGCTCCGCTTCCGTCGCGTATCGCGGTGCCCGGGCGCTGTTCGTCTAGGGGACCTGGACCGCTGCTTGGAAGGCCGTCCAACAGAGGAACTGCGATCTCGCCGGGAACCTCGAGGCGGGGGAGACGGAGAACCACGGCTGGAACTGCGCTTGCGTTCACCACTCGTGCTCCGAGACGTAGCCCGCGAGGATGCTGACGCTACTGACGGCGAACGGCGACGACCGGGCCGTCTCCCCACCGCGACTCGGTCTCTTGGAACATAGCTATCACGCTGACTGCCACGAAAAGAACCTCTTTCCCTCTGTTCGCGATATCTTTGGGCCGGGGACCGTGATCTGTTTTCGCCAAATCGTCCGCCATGCCTGACTCGCTGGTCGTAGTCCCTGTCTCCGCGACGGCCACGCCAAGTGTCGCCGCGACCGCGTCCACGGTCCCCACGGTCGCGTTCCCTCAGTCGACTGATTTCTTGTTCCCGTCTTTCTGCGTCTTCGCGTCGGCGGCGAGCTTCGTCTGCGGCTCGATCTGCCTCAATCTGATTGAGCTATTAGCTGTTGTTTCTGCAGCAATGGGCTGTCAACCTGTGCACACACCTTCTCTTGGATCAGTTCCAATTTCTTGGCCTCGAGTAGTTCCTTCGGAACCCCTTGGGGGCTGGTCTGGGCACTGAGGCAAAGCTTCCAGAGTTCCTTGCAAAACGGCGCGGTATCCTTATCCAAAAAGCCGGTGAGCTGTATTTGCAAAGACTTGATGTCAGGCTGTCATTTGTTAGCATAAAGAGGTTGCAATGCGCGAGTAAGACAGACAAATCTAGAGCCCTCGATCAAGTTGAAGCAAAGCTCAATGACGACATCGTCCTCACTCCCTAGTATGTCGGATATTTTGCTTGCGATCCACCTGTAAAAAAGAGACGAATTAGCAATTGAACGAGCAGCGAGTGGCAAGCAAAAGGCCCGACTTTTTCATCACCTGAAGGTTGACTTTTTGCATGTCAACCTTTTGGTTGAATTCCGGCGGAAACTTTGTCGACTTCAGCAACTTCGCATCGATGCCAGTTGCCATCTTGGAGGCGAATTGCTCGAATCGCGAGCACAAAGTAGGCTAATGACGTAGAAATCGAAGGAGTTTGGTCTCTGGCAAGGGAGCTCGCGGAGAGCCAGCAGAATGTGGACGCTAAGTTGGGATATCTGCTGAAGGTAGAGCAACACTGCGACGCGGTTTGATTCTTGCTTCAGGTGGGAACGGTCGCGGCACCTCAGGTACCCAGGTAGGTAGGCAGTGAAGGTAGGTGCTTTGGGCTGTGTTATCTTATCTGAGCTTGTTCCCTTAGTCATGTGCCCACGGCTGATGCTGTCATTTCCAAGGTGTATTGTACATGCCCGTGTTCTGCAGACCGCCTGCCGAATGCTAGGTTTGCGCACGCAATAAGGCAGGCACACGAGGTACCGTAACTAGCTAGGTACTGTGTAACAATGCGGAGCTGTTGCCGTCAGCATTGAATTCATCACCACTACAATGCAACGCGGGGCAATAGTCCAACAGTACCTACGAACTGATCCAAAGGCGATTCACGTTGTCTCATGTCCCATCTACACACCTTCTTCCTCAACCTTGTCGCGACAGGACACTAGAGCATACAGACAGGCTGCAGTCGTCGAAGCTATCGAACGAGGGTACTGCGGCTGGAAATTCGCCGGTGGTATCCCTGTCGAAGACAATGGGATTGCCGCTCAGAATGAATAACATCCACGCTCCCACGGTACCATCGGGACCGACCACCAGCGCCGCGAAAAACGGCCACCTCCACCGCTTGAACTTTGCCGAGTTGCAGAAGAAGAAAGATGACATGGAGGCCGAGCTCAAAGCTCTCGGCGCAGTCCTTGATTCTGTAAATCGGACTCCCTAATCTCGCCTCGGCACCGGCATGAACATGATAGCGATCTAACCTGTTTTTAGCATGGTGTTGACATGAGCACTCCTCTCACTACCCGTGACGGTTTCCCAAGAGCAGATATTGACGTCGCCCAAGGTACGCAATGCACATCAGGTTGCAAATGTCCTAGTCAACCGGCTGACCGTGGACAAACAGTGCGCACGACCAGAGCCCGCATAATTCACCTCCGCAACGACCACAAAGACCTCATGGTATTGGTGGAGAAGCATCTCCACGAACACTTTGCGAGTCTGCAGGAAGATGACGAGACGCAGCCGGCACCATCAAGAGGCGACATTGGCTTGCTGCCCGACCATGTGGCGTTGGAAACACTACAGGAGCCTTTCGCCAAAGTCAACAGTGTTGTCCCTGGCAGCCCAGCCGATGAGGCTGGTCTAAAGCCCAATGACGAGATTCGAAATATTGGCTACGTCAGCCTTGCGAACCATGACAATCTCAAGAAGGTTGCCGAGTGTGTCCAGGGGAATGAAGGTGTAAGTAAATAATTCACTTGGCCGGGTCTACAGCCGCGGACGTGCCAAACTGACAACTTGCAAGCAACCGGTGTTGGTTCGGGTGTCGAGGCCTGGTTCAGGCACACGGCAAGAACTACAACTCACATTGACGCCGACACGCAACTGGGGCGGCCGAGGCTTGTTGGGCTGTCATATCATTCCACTGTGAGGATGAGACGCTAGACTGGCACAGAAGCCATCGTGATGTGCTGGTACGCTCTGCGTGGTAAAGCACGCAATGGTTCAATCGTGACGTCTGACTCACGACGATACAACGAGGTTGTTAGGCTGCAATCATCACCTACACGATGATCGAGCGTTGGCAACTACCCAGGCACGGAGCAAGGCTTTACTTTTTGCTGCCTGTAGATAATCAACCAATGGGAGTATTTCTCAAAGCAGCAGGCGGGAATCCGATGTCAGGCTCGCGTTGTCGTGTGTGTTTGTGTAAGGAACACCCAACGATGCCGTATAAATCCAGATGCCAAGTAGCAGTAACTTGTTAGTATTGCCGCACTCTGGGGAACAGCCACACAAGTCGACTGACCAGCGGCGCAACCCGTGATGCAGTGGTCGCGACCCCTCGTTATCGAGGGCCCAGGTACTATGTAGGTAATTACAGCCTAGCAGTGACAGACTAATTAGTGGGACCGGTGAATAAATTTTGCAAATCCACAAGGGGACTAGCGCCAGACCTACCGGGATGGGAAACTTTCCGAATTTCTTCCATGTCTTTCCTTTACCTGAGTTGCCTGAGAGAAGGTGAAGTGCCCTGCCTGCACCTCACTGGATTTGACCGGCCAGGCTGCTCTTGCATGCTACTTGACTACTAAACCACCCTACGTACGTGACCTTCTACCAGGTACCTAAGTAATTGGGTACGTGCCTAACATACCTAGGACGGGAGTGATTGCACCGATTTTTACGGGCCTTAACAGGGACCCCGCTATGACGAGGCGGCCATGCACGTGACAGGCGTCTAGCCCAATCGTGCCTACCCGACTCCGTTGGCCTGCCTGACTGAAATTTTCGCTTAAGAAGTACGGCTTCCTTGCAAGCTCCCCGCCATCCTCAAAAACAACCACCCCCCCAAAGTCGATCAGTCGGTGACGATTCCTACACGTCAAACGCCCACAGCCCGTCTACGCCGTCTCTCCACGGTACGAGCCACCCGGATTCACCATCTGCGTAGAAACCCACTGCGAAATTCGTTCTCGCCATCGTCTACTTGTTTCTTTTGCGCCGATTGCTAACTCCTCGATCAGCCCCGCTTGTTTACAACAGACTCGCACCGAGCCAACTCATCGAGCGATTGCGAACATGGCTGCCGCTCAGCAGACGCCCACCTTCAAGCTTGTCCTTGTTGGCGATGGTGGTACTGGAAAGGTCAGTTGTGGACGTTCAGACATCCTGCCTCTTATCGCGCGCGCGTCGCTGCGGCTGCTCCCTCGCCATGTCCCCTCAAGATCATACTGGACGTCGTAGCTTTTCTGTTGCTGACCGTGAAAAATATTCCAGACCACCTTCGTCAAGCGCCACTTGACTGGTGAATTCGAGAAGAAGTACATGGCTACCCTGGGTGTCGAGGTTCACCCTCTGGGTTTCACCACGGTAAGTGCCCCCAAAGGGGCAATTTTGCTGCGGTCTCGACTTTGTGACGAATACTGATTTTTTCCTTCTTACCTCAGAACTTCGGTCAGATTCAGTTCGACGTCTGGGATACCGCCGGCCAGGAGAAGTTTGGCGGTCTCCGTGATGGATACTACATCAACGGCCAGTGCGGTATCATCATGTTCGATGTCACCTCCCGTATCACCTACAAGAACGTCCCCAACTGGCACCGTACGTCAACCCCTCCACGAGCGATTTCGCCAAACTCTGGACGGAACCAAACATTACTGCCAGCATGACTTACCCAATATCCACAGGCGATCTCGTCCGCGTTTGCGAGAACATCCCCATTGTCCTCTGTGGCAACAAGGTCGACGTGAAGGAGCGCAAGGTCAAGGCCAAGACCATCACCTTCCACCGAAAGAAGAACCTCCAGTACTACGATATTTCCGCCAAGTCTAACTACAACTTCGAGAAGCCCTTCCTCTGGCTCGCGCGCAAGCTTGTTGGCAACCCTGCTCTGGTAAGTATAAGCCTACGCGTGCTCAAGATGCAATGATATTGATGGACCGCTAGGAATTTGTTGCCGCGCCGGCTCTCGCCCCCCCTACCGCCCAGGTTGATGAGAAGCTTCTTGAGCAGTACCGCAAGGAGATGGATGAGGCTGCCAACATGCCCCTGCCCGGTGAGCTGTCGGACGAGGATCTGTAAAGATAGAGATGATGTTTGGATCATGATCCGACTGTGGTGGAGTGGCCAACAGGGCATCGTGAACCGGGATTCTTTGGCGCAGGCTGGCAATTGCTGGCTATGGCCATGATGGTAGAAGACGGCACGGCCGGTTCATTTGGTAGACTCGGAGAAGGATGGAAGGGCCTTACATTTGCTGCTAGACGGCCAGCATACTTTGAGTAGGTAGTTCGACGCCTTACAAGATGAACACTGAGTTCTCACACTCCATATTCAAGGTGTCAGGGGTTGAACCGCTCCCTTCCAGTCCCCTATGCGAGCCGTGGCAGACGACGCGATACGAATAATTAGATAGCAATCTCATACTGAGTCGGTGCGCAACTCGATGAGCATGTCAATTACCAATGAAATTTTCCGCACCCAAAACTAGTGGTCAAAAACGAGGAGGATAATGCCGGATCATTCCGCGGATTCAGCTGAAGACCTAGTGTCACCTGCTTGGCCTGTCTTCCTCGAGGATCATCGGTATATTTGGTTACAAGGGGCGGCGGTAGGCGAAGGCTAACCATCAACTCGACAATTGCGTGTCTGGTTATTTACACCGGCCACCGTGTCCGTGGACTAGCATCCCAGGTCGCCGCATCCTCCGGAGCATTCGTACCTACCTAGTAGGTCGTCGCGACGCCATCTGGGGATACAGCAGAGAGAGGCAGTAAACAAGGGGCGCAGACGGTGGACGGTGCGAGCACGGGCATGGGCACAGGCACGAACAGTCATGAACCAGGGTTGGCGACGCGTTTTAGGGGATTAGACAGGGTTCAAAGGTCCCCTCTCTTGGCCCAGTGCATAATTAGAAGCGAGATCGCATGGATCGTTATTGAAAAACGAAGCGACCGCGCTGGTTGAATGCGGTCATCGGGAGACATTTCTATCTTTACCTTTCTGGTTGGCTGCAGGTCTAATACAATCTTCACGACTTTTTCAGTCAGACACAGAACCGGTAGGTCCTCAGTGCGCCGGCGTAGGTTACATCCAACACGACATCAGCTTTGCATATACCTCAGACATTATTGTCTGGTAATTGGTAACTGGCGGCAAGCCTTGCGAGGTACAGCCTAATGAAGTTGAAGTTGGTAACTAGCCTTTGAGATGCCACGAGATTCAGCGACTTAAGTCAGAAAAACAAAACGAAAAGGTTGCTTTGTAATTGGTATGGTGTCTCAGGGACATGCATGCATGCAGCAGGTAGGTATTTGTTGAAAGTGTAGCCCCTGGAGATGGGCACTGTTTTTGTTTGATTTCCTAATCGACAACGAAGACGCGACTTGACTGGTCCGAGCCTCGTCAAATGTGCCTTGTTGTTGACTGTCATGTGCCTCAGCCACATCACTTTACCCTGTGGCCCTCCCTGCCTGGATAGGTACCTAGACCGATGTACGTTGAGGCAAGAGAGGGATCCCAAGCAATACAATTCTTCGTCTGTGATAGCTCGAATGCGATGGTAAGGTAGGTATCCGTAAGGTGTCTGGCACTGGATTTACGTGACTGGAGGTGGGCCATGGAGACCCGTGCCGCGATCGCGCTGCACCTACCTTACCTTCGTGCCTGGCGCTGCTGCCCTAAGCTTGCGGGGTGGGACATACCTACCTAAGGTACCTAGGCTACATACCCTCCACTCAGTGTCCGAATTCAGTCGACGCACGAAGTGGAGGGCACCGAACCACTGAGGTACGCTGAACCTTGCCCGAGGTACGCCAGGTATCTGGCTAGGTAGGTAGTTGGGGTCAGACGCGCTAAAGTTCAACACCAAGGGTACGCCGCAACAGACCGCACGTCGCCGTACCTAATTACGCATGACCGCGCCGTCTCGTGTCTCGACCTTCAACTTCCCCACCTCGTTCGTTCCCAGAACCTCTCGTATCGTTCTCCCTCTTCCTTTTGGCTTGCTCTTCTGCTTCGTTGCTGCACCTCCCCAATCTCCTTTGTTTTGCCGGTGCTACAAGATCGTGTGTCTGTTATCCTCCTAGCCCCTCCGGATACCTCGTCTTTCCCCGGACCATGATTGCCATCCAAACGTAATCCAGCTCGACCATCACCAACATGCCCGCCTCCGACACCTCTCCTCCAGTCCCGACTGCTGCCCCGGCAACTTCCCCTCCGTCCTCGAGTGATTCATTCTCTCAACTAGAGCACTCCGCACCCGATCTCATCATTTCGTCCTCTGATCTCGCGACATCATCAGCAACGTCGAAAACAATAGTGAACGGCGCGGAGCCCGAGAAGCACCCAAAGGGAAAGCGGAAGAGGACTGCGTGAGTTCAATTGAGTCGCGTGACCACGCGTCAGTCACTAACATTGTCACATAGCGCCAAAGATAAGAGCATACTTGAGAATGCCTACCTCGCGAACCCAAAACCAGACAAGGCGGCGCGTCTGGACATCGTAAAGCGCGTTTCCCTCAACGAGAAGGAGGTTCAAGTAAAGACAATGCTTTACACAGACTTTAATCAAATGGTTACTGATCCGTCTTTAAGATCTGGTTTCAAAACCGTCGCCAGAATGACCGGCGCAAGTCGCGTCCCCTCTCTGCACAGGAAATCGCAGCTCTCCGTTACGGTGGAATGCAGATACTCTCCTCTGACCCTGCATCATATAGCTCTCCCGTCGGCGAGGATAAGACGTCACCAATAGTCGAAGCTGCTGCTACGAGTAGCGCTTCTGCGCCTATGGAGACACCAGTCAAGCCTGTTCACACGGGCGCGAAGGAAGCCGTCGACGGTTCTCGCACCGTCAGTCCATCCCATGGAATTGGCATTTCGGGAGACAGCGCTCTGAAGACCCCCTCAACTCAACAGTCAGACCCTGCCTCTCAGCCGCAGACCTCATCCTCGTTTTCCTTCTCAAGCTCCATAGGACTCATGTCTAAGCGGTGGAACCCTGCAAGTTCCTTTTCCACGCCGTCGACGCTCGATCGCAGGGTAGACGATACTCCCAGGTATGGCTTCCGTTGTGTTCATGCATTGACGAAGACCAAACTCACACCCATCAGATCTGAGCAATGCCCTCCATCCTGCGAGTCAACCGCGTCTGCAGCACCTATTCTTCCTCCCCCCCAATCACATATGCGCCTCTCACTTTCTCTCGAGGGCAAAGCGGAGCTCGTGTCGAATGAATCCTCGCCTCCGCGGTTGCAGCCTACAGGACTGTTCTCAGACTTGCCAAGTCTGCCGCGAGTCAAGCCTCGTTCTCTCCAACGTAGTCACAGTGCGCTTCCGAGTGTGACCCTACCTCCCATCTCGGCTCTCACTGACACTCTCCCACCGACTCTATCTCGCGGACGATCCCGAGATGCCCATGCCTGGGAACTATGCTGTGATGCTGATTCCCGGGACGAACTCACTGCACAGGCAGAGAACGAGTCAAATGGTTCGGCCGTCGCCGCAATCAGTCTTCTACGCTCAACCAGTGGCATCCTCCAAAATAACAACTCAAAGCGGAACTCTCCAGCAAGCAGGCCGGCACCCCGGCCCCAGCAGGCCAAGAAGCCTAAGCTGTGCCGGACCTCATCGAGTGTCGCCAGGATGCAAACATCGCTTGTTGACGCTGACAGGCCGACGGATGAGAAGGAACCCGCAAGAGTCAAAGTCAACATGTTGGTGTCCCCATCGGGTGACTCTGACAAGGAAAATTGGCTTCCGGATGAAGAGGGGAACGCACGTCGCATATCGCCAGCCGGAGAAGTCGGGGCGCCATTGCCTACGACAGCTGCTAACAAGCCCAACGCGAGGCGGACGGGTCGCATTCTTCAGGGCCATCCAGGACCAGTCATCTTCAGTGGCAACCGCGCCAGGACGATGCCAGCTATGGGTCGGAGAGATTCTGGGAAGGACATGTCCATCTTCGAGGATGATGAAGGCTTGTTGGCGCAAAAGCCTGCGGATGAGGTTGAAATATTTATGCGTGGTGAAGTCAGCCCGGGCAAAAAGGGGGACATGGATTGCATCGCAGGCTTGCTGTCTTTGAGTCAAGGGAACTGGAGGTGATGGCTCGGTGCTTGGGTGATTCCACGCCAGCCTTGCTCACGAAAACAAGGTCACGTACGGCATGACAGCAGAAATGCCCCATGCTTGTCTTGGTCGAGGTCATGCCATCTTCAGGCAAAAGAGCGGCCAATGAGCTAGTAAGGCTTATGCACGAAACAAACCGAAGAGTTCCTGGAACAAGCGACTCTTGCAGAGAAGCTTTGAGCAAAACCTCTCTCTTAATGGTAAATGAACTGGGTATGGGGCAAGCAGATAATGCCGATGCCTGGTAAACCAACGCCGACACTTGGTCCTCGGTAATGATATTTCGGGGTGGGGGGCCTCTTGCTTGTGCATACTGGACGACTGAGTCCGACTGAGTCGTGTGGCTTTGGATATGGCTATGTTTTGTAACATGTTGGTTGAACGCGCGCAGTCATTATCTGTTGTATGTAGACTAGCATAGTGACGCCACAGCGAACCGGGTGAGGCGAAGACGAAAGAGCGAAACAGAAGAATCATGCACTACTGGAAGATATCCATCGACATTTCTTCCTCCCCCATCTTCATGACCGGCCAATCATTGGTATTCTTGGTTCAAGATCCAGCGTCTCTTTTAAAGAGATGGCTTCTAAACGAAAGGCTAAGCAATGTTCCCGTTCACGTCTTCTTTCAATTTACCCTGCACAGCCATGTTCTGCACAAAAGCGCGCGCAAGCATACACAACCCGCACACTCCATAGAGCTATATCTTATTGACCATTATTGTTTTCTGTACATAACCAAATCTGCTATTCAGCTGGTGCAGTATGGATTCTATGTCGATGGGACTTTCCGCTCGGTTCTTTCACCCTTCCCACCGTGTGGCTCATCCCGAGAACCACACTAAATACATGCCAGGGGATGACATTTCCAAGTATCCTCAACGCTCTCTAGTATGACTTCTTTCCGTGCGGGCGTGTCTAATTCGGGCCTCTGACTGCCCTCGACACAATTGTTCGCTCCCTGGCTAGCGTTACCAATGTCTATGAAGCCGGAGCTTTGGAAATCAAACATCAAAACGTCAAAACAATGCGTCTAGCCCGCCTCGCTCAGGTGGGTCGATGAAAAGGTCTTTGTAATGTCCTTTCGCCGCGGGTTAAAAAATTAAAAAAAAAAGCGTCATGGGGGATCATCATGCGGCTGCTTTTCTCTCTGTCTCCTCTGAGGAAAAAAATCACATGCCCAAGAGACTCATCTGTCTTCTCAGGGGACTCGCACTGATGCTGCCGTCTTCACTGGCGTAGCAAGCCGAATCAGTATCGATGTCCCACTCAGGCTCTTCGTCCTTGCCGTCCTCCGAGGGGCACAAGCTGTTGGCTGAAGAATCAAACCCCTTCTGCGTGGCAGCGCGTGTATTCCAGCGGAGAGTGCGAGAAACGCTGTCAAACCATTCGGTCTGAGTGCGTACGACAGTAGGAAACGGATATTGAGACGCCGTAATTGTGACGTAATCGCCTTGCTTGAGTTCAACCCTCCCCTTCCCGTCGAAAGCGCAATAGGCCGTAGCACGAGAGTTGCGCGGCACAGAAACGCGCAGCAGCATGGTGTCGGAGAGGACCATTGGGCGAAAAGAGAGGGTGTGTGGGCAGATTGGCGTCAGGAGGATGGCGGGAATGTCGGGATGCACAAGCGATCCTCCGGCGGACAACGAGTAGGCAGTAGAACCGGTTGGTGTTGAAAAGATGCATCCATCGGCCTGCACCACTGTGAGGAGCTCATCGTCACCATAAAGCTCCAAGTTGGAGACGTATGGGGACGGTCCGCGATCGATGACTAGCTCATTGAGAACCTCGAACTGCTCACCCTCTTCAGCCTCCTCGCCTCTGGCACCATCGCGATATACCGTGCAGGTGAAGCGCATGCGCAAGTTGACCCGCATACCCTCCTCTCCCATGATGCGATCCAGGTGCTGCTTATACTTCTCGAACTCAAAGCTCGTGAGAAAGCCGAGACTGCCCAAGCTGAATGACAAGACGGGAGGCACGATGCGCTGGAAGAGCCAGGAGGTGAAAAGCACCGTACCATCGCCACCCAGGGTGAGGACTAGGTCGAATTTCTCAGGTTGACTCCAGCACAAATCGGGCGTCCAGTATCGGAGCATGCCTTGGAAGGCAGGGTTTTCCGCCAGGAGGCCGTTCGCGTCGAAACGACGAGAGTTGCGGAGCTTGGCATCCACATAAACGTTTACGCCGACATCGGAACCGTATCTCGGAGTGCGCAGAAGCCAGGAAGCAAGCTCTTTAGTGAGGTAGACGAGCTGGTTGTCGCGGGCCTTGGTAACAATCATGACGTTGCGTACGGCGCGCTTGATGGGACGGCGCTGGAGCTGCTTGGAGACCTCTCTGACGCCCGTAGCGGTCTGGACTAGTCTAGAGTGAGACATGCAGTCGTCGTTCTTGATTTCCTCGAGGACCTTGTCAATATTGACGGCATCGTCAAAACGGTTGTGGTAAAAGCAAGGAGACTGCAGCGAGGGCAGCGCGGTAGTCGGTGTCATGTTGCGGTTGGCAAGCTCGTTGAGTGCGTCGGCCAGCTTCTGAGAAGACGAGGTAGCGGGCCGGTTCTCGACACCACCCTGTGCGGATAACATGCCGGTGAGTGAAAGGGCTTCGGGTTTGTTTCTGCGGACAACCGAAGCAAGAGCTTTCATAATAGTCTGGCGGGGAACTTCGTGTGAAGGCGCGTTACGGCGATGGCCCTTGGCAGGGTGGCCGTGGTGCGCAGCAGGGGAGGAACGCGACAGAGGTGGCGGTAGTTCGGGATAGGCGGCAGTGGGTATAGTTGCCGTAGTCGCGGCTCCAGCAGATATCGAAGAAGAAGCCGTCTCGGTTGCAGCGTCTGCGGCAGTGCCGCGTTGGACGAGCTCAGTTGGAAAGGAAGACTCTGCTAGCGAAGCGGCATTGCGAGGCAGAGACTGGCTGAGGAAGGCTGAGGAGTCGGGCGTAGATGGGCGCTCACTGTTGTGGGCGGCGTTGGAGCTCTTGGGTCGGTCGGAGAGCGAGGTTTTAACTGCCTCGGAGGAGCGCAGAGGCGGCGGGAGCGGATTACTGAGGGCGGGGTGCAGGGCGGTGGGTGAGGAAACGAAGCCCGACATGGTTAAGAATGGTCGTTGTCCGTGACGGGGATTAGGGGAAGGAAGGGAGCTAAGACCGGGGAGGGTCGACTTGAGAGTGGATGGTGACAGGCTTGAAAAGAGGTAATAATAGCCTGGGGTGTGTGTCTCCCTGTAACCAAGGCCGAGCGACGAATTTCGCGGCGGAGTGACACTGAACGTGGGGCGGGTTTTGGCGTGCTTGATCAGGAGGAGTGGGCAGCCAAGGTGGGCTTGTGGGCGTGGGAGTGACCGGAGGTTGCGGACCACCGATGGGCGGTAGGTAGGCACTTACAGCCGCTACCTTTAGCGCGTAAGTGAATTCGAGGTCGAGGGTGAGTGCTTTTGGTGGAGGTGAACAAAAGTACCGGTAGTTCACTCGGGGCTCAGGGTTTGCAAGCGACGGAAAGCAAGTTAACCCGTATGCGAGGGTTGAGGACTTTGAAGACCCGGGCTGATGTACCGGAGTTGAACCAGGGCAAGCTCGAGACTCTGGCACCTTTGAGGTGAGAAGAGGTGTGTGCGGCTTGGGTGGCGAAGGGGATAGAGACACAGCAGTTGCTTCGTGTCGCAGCAGCGCCGGCCAAAACGGAGATAGTCGGCGAGACCAGGTACCTGGCGATAAAAGAGCAGGGCAGCAGGAAACCGAGACAGACTGCAAGCAATCTGCGCGAGTGTGTGACTCGGGTATCGATGGAGGCGACAGTGAAGGGGGTGTGGGATGGGATGGGATGGGATGAATGACGCTAGTTTGACTATCGGAACGGAAACCCAAGAAGCAGACGGGACGGAGGGAACGAAGAGTCGTTATCGCTAGAGCGGGACCCGAGACAGAGCCAAGCCAAGGTAGTTGGACCTGCGTGCAGTGTGTTCACAGGCGAATCCCTGAAAGATTGGCGAACTGGATGGTGATGGCCGCAATTATTGGGCGAGACGCGGGCGACAGAGGTGCCGGTGCCGTCGAGGTGCAGCAGGCTGCAGAAAGTGTTCGCACGTGGTTGAGGAGAATAGGGTGGTTGACGTAAGATGTCGAGGTTCGATCGAATTGCTGAATCTGGACAACCAGGATGTGTGGACGCACGCTGAGTGGGCGGTTGTGTTGTTGAAATGCCGATCCGAAAGTCAGAAGTTGATGTCGACACCAGGTCTATTGTGTTGCTGTTGTATTACCAATATCCGAGTCTCGTTTGACGCAAACAGTTATGCTCAAGAAAGGAGAGGGGGAAATCGCTCCAAATGCCGCAGAGGTTGCCGTCGAGGTGTGGGCCTTGAAATAAGTCGAGCCGATGAGAAGAAGAGAAGAGATCCAGATCTGAAAGTCTAAAATAGAATGTGGTATATAACAAAGAGGCAGGCAAAGGTACCCGGTGCGATGTGACGCAAGGCGATGCAATGCAGGGCAAAGTGAGGAACAAGAAAGAAGAAGAAAAAAACCCAAAGATACAAAAGCTCGAGGTAATTGCTAGAACTACCAGAGCTCTTCTTCAAATGGGGAGGAGAGAAAGGAGGAGGAGGAGGAGGAGGGCGGAGAAGAGCGAAGAGAAAAACGAAGCTGAAATGAGTAGAGAGTGACCAGACTGACTGACAGAAAGCAGAAAGACCGACGGCCTGGGACTGCATCCCAACGGCAGGAGGCTTTAATAACGAAAAGAAAGAAGATGAGAAGTGCCCCTCAGGCATACTCCTTTTGGTCTGATGTCGATCGAGGATGAGAATGGATGCGACCTGGGCCTACCTACCTACCGTAAGGTAAGGTACCTTACCTTACTGGGGGCGCTCCCATCAACACTTAGGTTGGTAGGTACCTTGCCTTACAGCACGCAACGTCCAAGCTCGGACAGTCTGAGGAACGTAGCCCCAGGCAGGCCCACTACTCTGGTAGTGTACC